TATCTACAAAATTTTGTATTTTGCCGTCATTCAATTTGAATGGCGCTATAATCACATAAAAATCCCACACACGGGTGCTTTAAAAGACAAAATATGTATTGTTTTGCTAAGAACCTTTCATAAAATATCACACTTCATGCAGCAAAGTGAGTCTGTTTGGATGTCTGCCACAGGTTGCGTGCTGGCTCGTGGACCCTGGCAGTGAGGAGAGGACTCTACCCAACATGGTGACTGTGTACTGTCCTGAGGAATTGCCTCTGCTGGACGGACTTGGGAATGCGCATGCTCACTGTCCTCGTGTTAGGGCAGCGACCAAGAGTGTGCTCGTATATGCTGTGATGAAACATCTCACTGGCCTGCTAGAGAAAGACGGCATGCTTGGCAAGTACTCCTACCAGACATCCATGTAATATCTACTTATTTAGTGGTAAGAACGGTAGTAAACATTAGGGATTTTTACCATTGTTGTTTTTGTATGCATGTATCAGACTTATTCAGGAGCATTGAGATGCCCTCCCAGGTGTGTTTGGCTCTGTTGGAATTGAATGGAGTGGGCTTCAGTGTCGAAGAATGTGAAAGACAAAAACATGTGATGCAAGCCAAACTCACAGCGCTGGAATCTCAAGCTTACAACCTGGCCGGACACAGCTTCTCCCTCACCAGCATTGACGACATAGCACAGGTCTGATGCACCTTGTTTATCCCAGCCTCATTTTTTATTAACAAAATTCCAAGTACAACAAAGCGTAAAACTGACAATTTCTTGAAAAACTTGTATGTGCTTACATGCTCTCTGCGCCGTAGGTGTTGTTTTTAGAGCTCCATCTGCCTCCAAACGGTGATGTGGGTGGATCGAAAAGTAAGAAGACACTTGGCTACACCAGGAGAGGCGGCGGCAGAGTGCGACTTGGAAAGCAGTTCAGCACCACCAAGGTGAAACTACTTTGCATTACATTCAATTATTGCTACTACTATGAATCGCACTTCACTGAATTGAAGTGATGTTGGCAGGATGTTCTGGAGAAGCTTCGCCCCCTGCACCAGTTGCCGGGTGTGATTCTGGAGTGGAGGCGGATCACTAACGCCCTGACTAAAGTGGTGTTCCCCCTGCAGAGGGAGAAGCAATACCACCCTACACTGACCATGGACAGAATATACCCTATCGCCCAGACACACACAGCCACAGGTAAAATACACACACGCACAGAAACACAAACAAATTACGTGCACCTGTCATTAACCTATGTAACGTGTTTCATGTAGTCATTCCTTGACGCCATGTAGTACATTCGTACTACTGTGCAAAGCAATTTTATTTGAAGTAAATATAAAGCATGCAATGATCCAGCTCATTGTGTTGTCAGGTAGAGTAAGCTTCACTGAGCCCAACATACAGAATGTCCCCAAAGACTTTGAGATTCACATACCCACGGTGGTGGGTGAGAGCCCACCTTCACAAGACAGCAGCCACATGACCACCAAACCTAGGTAGGTCAACACTTCTTTAGTTCACCGCACCTGATTTTTTCAGTGTATGGCTCTCAAAATGGGGTCTGAGACCACTCAAGGAGTACTTGAGCGACTTGAAGGTAAAATCATAACTTCCTTATTTATAACTATCACTCTACTGGATAAACTTGCCTTCTTGAGAAACAAATTGTGTATGTTCAGGTTTTTACAAAATACATCAGCCCTTTGTGATACATTTTACATCATACTCAACTGCTTTAGTATGTAGCTATTTAAATACTTCAATATTATCTTGTATATTTAAATATTCTGTTTTTGAGCTGGCACATCTTGTTAACAAATATCTGGATGAGATAATATTTTCATTATGCAAAAGGTTTCTATGTCAATATCAAAGTTCATTTGGATCTGAGACAACTATAGGCTACACCTTTGTTTGTGATGTGTCTACACTTTTCCATGGTAATGCATAATACACTACGTCCATATAGTGTGATAAGAATAAGGAAATACACGTGAATCTCTGAAAATTGGAATATCGTGGAAAAGTGCATTGGCAGAACCAGGCTGAGAGATTAAAGGCTCAGGAATCCTTTGCAGGTGTTTTGAGTTAATTAGCTGATTAGAGCTCCTCTCGACGTTTCAGGATTATAAATTCTTTAAAATTTTAACAGTTTTGAGAAACTGGAGTTTTGATTTCCATGTGCTGTAAACCATAATCATGTATAAATGTAAAAATATATTGTTTTAAATGTAAAAATAAACTTTTTTTCCACTAACCTAACTATCACACTTCACTGTACAAGTCTTGCTTTGCTATAAACGGAACATCGTTTTTTTGCCAGGGTTTGAAATTGAAATAAAACCTACAGTACAAACTCAGGATATTGTATACAATACACACAAAAAAGTGAAAAAGGAACTCCTTGCATATCATTACATGCTATGTGTGGATCGTAAATGCACTTAATTCCATGCGTTTTCTAAGTTGACATGGCTAAGTGCTCAGCAAACAAAAATTCACGAGGAATGATATAATGAGATGGCTCTCACTGTTTTGTTACAGAAAGAAGAGACGTTCTGCGGTACCTTCAGCTGCAGCTGGCAGTATAGAACAAGGCCCGGCCTTCTCTGTCAGCATGAGACATGCCTTTGTACCTTTTTCAGGTTACTATGATGATCCAGTTGTTTTGTGCTGCTGGCAACTTTTCTGTCTGTAACTTTGTCTCTCAGCTGTGTCTTTCTACACTGTGCTGTAGGCGGGATGATACTGGCAGCTGATTATTCACAGCTGGAGTTGAGAGTGTTGGCTCACCTTTCCAAGGATCAACGCCTTCTTCAGGTCAGTAAATAGCAAGAAAACATCATAAAAAACGTTAATAAACAGGTAAAGAGACGATGAACTGTGCGTGTGGCCAGGTGCTGAACGGAGGTGCAGACGTGTTTCGCTGTATTGCTGCTGAGTGGAAAAGTGTTGACCCAGAGTCCGTGAACGACAGCCTCAGACAACAGGCAAAACAGGTACAGCCATGCAGGAAAGAGACGATAACACGGACACATATATTCTCACTGCGAAGTTCACCGGTGTGTTCATGTATTGGTCTTTGCAGATTTGCTATGGCATTATCTATGGGATGGGAGCCAAATCTTTAGGGGAGCAAATGGGAGTGGAGGAGAATGACGCAGCCTGCTACATAGAAAGTTTCAAGGCCAGATACAAAGGTAAACACTGTTTAACTCTTCTATTCATTTTACCCACTCATTACTTTCTGGTCCCAAATACCTAAATTAGTGTTTGTCTGCATATCGGTATGTAAGTTTGTGGCAGTATTTCCATTTTTACTGGAATACAACACTCAAAAGTAATTGTATGTATTCTTTTAAATGTATATAATAATGTAATATATAAAATCAACATTTAGAGTTGTTGACATTATTTGTCTGAATATGAGATGTCAAAGTTTTGAATGGAATAAAGGATGGTACAATCTGGGAATGGACAAGTAAAGTCCATCTAACTTCTAAATTCCTACACAGAAACATTACATCCATGTCCTGTCGTGTGTTTCAGGGATCAATGCATTTCTTAGAGAAACTGTGAAGAACTGTATAAAGAACGGCTACGTTCAGACGCTGATGGGCCGTAGGAGATACCTACCCGGGATCACTAACGGCAATACACACATCAAAGCACATGTAAGCAGGCCTGTCCATCAGAACATGCCAGACTTCATTTGTGCTGTAAGCTATGCAATGTTAAGATTCATGTTATTTTTCCATATTTCATGACTCCTGTGTCTCTCTCTCTCTTCCTCCGTCATCCAGGCAGAGCGTCAGGCAGTGAACACAACTGTACAGGGCTCAGCAGCAGACATTGTCAAACTCGCCACTGTGAACATCCAGAAACGACTACGAAAAACATACCCTTCAGCTCCACTCTCTCACCAGCACACACACACAGGTGACTTTCACTTAATCTTCTTTTCCCATACTGTATAAACGCCCCTGTATTATTTCAAAGTCTGGGAATAAATCCTGTCTGATGATGTCAAATGGTGTGCGCTATACAGCCCGCAATCACCGCAGGGCTGGGACGTCTCTACTAAGAGGAGCCTACTTTGTCCTACAGATGCATGATGAGCTCATCTATGAAACCACAGAGGAAGACGTCATACAGGTATGAAAAGTATTATTGGGATTGTCAGTTCCTCTTTAGTGTTTGTTAAACTGATTACATCTGCCAAGTTACAAGTTACACTACATATGATTTTATGTAGTTGTTTATTTTTTTTTTAGCATGGACACATCTGAAAAACACTACATATATACACAATTCTTTGTCTTTCTACCGACCCCCCTTTCTGTCAGGTTGCTCAGATTGTCAAGAGGGAGATGGAGTCGGCAGTAAAACTGTATGTAAAGCTTAAGGCCAAAGTCAAGGTGGGACCCAGCTGGGGAAACCTGCAGGACTTAGATATATAATGTGAATGTTTTGATGTTTGAGATCGAAATAAAGGTTCTGTAATATGTTAATGCTATCATTTACACTAGATCAATATTTTTTAATCACTACTTTAACAATAATGAAATGTAAGATAACCCACAGTCTATGGTCGCACTTTGAGCTCTAAATGAACTAATAAATATATTTATAACTCTATTTCCTATTGTACAGTGTCACAAATTGTACGTTTGTAAAAAGAATATTTTATTTACTGATATCCCAATACTTGTCATGAGATTTTATGCAAGATGTTATATAAGCTGAAGAAATATCTTTTTTCGATGAATTGTTTACTTTATGAAATGTTAATAGTAAAAAAAAACATCACAATTATCCTGTTCCCAGTGTGATGTGTGCAAATGTTTTGTTTCATTCAACAAAAAGATTTTCCGTTTACAATGATAACCAGTAAATCCTTTACTGTGAGATGCTGGAACTGGAGAATGTTTGCTCTTTTTTTTTTTCCCAATTTCGTCTTGACAAGATGATTTGAGGCTTTTAAAACAAAGACATGGAGCAGCTTTAGTATCCTGAAATCTCACATTTTATTGGACTATTGGTTGTCACAAGAACATACATCATTATCAGTCTCTCATTAACAGTTTTGTTTTACACCTATGACATTCACTGCACAAGAAGTGTCAGTGTAACAGACATTTTCTGTGCAAAGCGAAATTCACCACCTCTGGTTATAGGGAGAAAAATAAACTTGCTCCAGGAAGCATTTTGTGTGACTTTAGTCTCAACTGTTTCAAAGACACATATGATAACCCGTTAACAGACTGTCCGGTGATCTCAATAACGGTACTAGATTTTTAAATGATTCCATTTAAATATATTGACATCATTGCCAATTTAAGCAAATACAGACCATTTAAAAGCTCATCAACACAGGTTTAATTTGACACAAAAATGAGTTACAAGTAAATAAATACATGTTGTGGACACACATCCATACACAAATACAACAACCAAAAAAAACAAACATGAACAGACATGTGAGTGTGATCCCAGATGTTGGTACAGATCTTTCATGTCTGTCACAAAAATATGTATTCTGTGTGCCCAACAGTCATTGAAGTTATGCCATTATTTAATGAGAACTTATTTTGTATTCCCAAATGTATTAACTAATATCAATGCTGTCATTACCTAGGTTTAACAAGATAGGTAACTAGCAGCTACAATAACTCAAAAAATCAATTGATTGGGGAGCAATGTGATAAAATTGCTGATTTTCTGATGCGTAAACGCTCAATAGGACAGTGATATAGCTCAGAGTTGACATGTGTCGACCTGTGATGAAAATGACACTGCTGTTGTGTGTTGTGCATTAATTTTTGGGTAATACCCCTGTGATATCAATGTGTTTTTGTGAAGCAATTGAAGTGATCATAAAAGAGAATCATTTGCAGACACTGATAAGCTGTATCTTTGGTGGTTTCACAATTGTCCACTGACCTTTTGCGCCTCTAAATCATACAACAAATATTGGCTTGACCTGTTTCTACAAGGGGATATGACAACTGGAAAGGTCTGGGATTGGCAATAATAAGTCAATGAGAGGACTCTTGAGGAAGAAGATTTAATCCCTACGGACTACAAATCCACTTCACTGTCCTATCACCCTCTTTAGGGCCTAGCAGACTTAAAACAGAAATGACACTAATGGGACTGTGTGTTAGGAGTATGCAGGTTTCTGTAAACAGTTTTTTTCAGATACACTGCCACAAAAAGAAACATTTCATTAATCAATTAAGGCATCGACACAGGCAGAGCTGTGCATTTTACCAGAGTAGAAAACAGAACAGAGAAAAAATATGTACACAGGTACAGTTAAGTGCTACTCAAGAAGTCTTGTGTTCAACTGGCTAGATCTGGGGCAAGAAAAACTGGGACCAGGACTGGCCCTTTCTATCTCCATGAAGTACTGTGGGGCTTGAGCTAGGGTTGGGAACTTAACCCTTGTCAGATAACATCTCAAGCTCTTGGCCCAGGTTATTGGGGTACAACAATTTACATGAAAAAAAGGGAAGTAAGTAAGGACACAAGAGGTTTGAGGACGACATCCAGGAAGATGTCAGGGCGTCTCTCCATTGCGGCTGAAGTAGTACCTGACCGGAGGACCAGGGAGGTCATCGTCTCCATCAGCCTCCGGAGCAAATGACACAGTGAGGTCAACGTAGCGGCGGCCCGCTGATGGCTTGATCAACTTTTGCATCCTGCAGAGACAAGGTTAAGTGCATCTGTTCACTTTAGACAAAGGATGAATCATTTCAGTGAGAGTTTTTCAAGGAGATTGAGATGCTTCACCAAATGGGGTATTTTCACATAAGCCTTTGTCCAGTAAAGCTCCCCCAAAAACAGACACTTAAGCAAAAAGTGCACAGGGTGGTGTAGTTGAGAGAAAGTAGAAATTATCCACCGTGCTGAGTGTCTTTAAGCAAGAGACTGACTTCCTACAACCTTCAGAGGTTCTGTTTTGTAACTCTGATCCCCAGCACTAACCCCAGGACTGGCTTAAGTGAGCCCTGAACCATCAGTTAAGTTATGCGGCTATAGGCCTAGACTGCCAGGAGACCTCCCATGATGCACTGAGCTCCCCACATCCTCTCCTGTATTATCTTATCTTATCCAATAAATGCATATTACAAACTCAAGTTCTTCCCTCTCCTGTGGTTTTGTGCGTTCTTGTCTCTCCTGTCGCTTTCAGCAAGTATTTCTGGAGCTGTAGAGTCTGGATCTATGATTGTAAGCTACCTACACCCCCCGATGTTCCTGCTCAACACTCCCTGCTACAATTATAGGTCTTATTAGTATTGCGATTATCATTATTTTCCATCTATATGTGGAACTCTCATTGTGCTACTGTGTGTGACAATCAGGAAACACTTACGTGAGTTTGAGTCTCTTTGAGTGTCCAGGCATCACAGGCACGTAAAGCATCTTCACACCATGGACGACCATAGTGGGTTCAATTCCATACTTTTCCTGAAATAAAACAAATCATTATCCAAAAAACATATACAAAAACTACAAAGAAGCAATGAAAACCCTCTAATGTGGTAACTGCATATTTCTAATGCACTAACAGATAACACAAGTGTTCTCACCCTCACTGCATTCATGAAGTCAGACAGAGTGAAGTCCTCATGGCCAAAGATAGTCCAACAGTCCCAGATGGAGAAGTAGATGTTGTCTCTGGGAAAGATGTCATAGAGCTGTCACTACATTACACGGTAATAATGAAACATGGCTAAAACTCTTACATCTGGTGCCATCTTATAGCTGGAATTATTATATATCATCATCATCACATTTCTACAGTGATGGTTTAATACTAATTTGACATTTTCAGTGCATGAGGTCAAAACAATGCTAATCTGGCAGGGACAAAATTTGGTTTTATCACCTAAAAGCAGTGATAGAGACAGTGAAATAAATTATTTGAAAATATGCCCCTACCTGATGAGTGTCCTTTTAACTGGGGCAGGCTCAGTGAGCACCACTACAGGGATGGCCAAGTTAAAGAAGCAGTTTTTGAAAGATTCAAACTCGTAGACTCCAACGACTTTGATCAACTCGAGGGCCACCTGAGGTGATCCAAATAATGTTATTCATGTATAATTTATTGATATTAAACAATGGAATTCATTTCAGCAATTTTATTAAATCATTTTCTGCCACTTATCCAAGGCAACAGGCTCAGCAGCAGGCCAAGCAAGGTAGTCCAGACATCCCTCTCCCCAGCAACCTTTTCCATCTGGGACCCCAGTCTGTTCCTAAACCAGATAAGATATATAATCCCTCCCGCCTTTTCTTGGTCTACCCTGGGGGTCTCCTACCATTTGGACGTGTCCCAAAAACCTCCAAAGAAAAGTGCCCAGGAGACATCCTGATCAAATATTCAAACCACCTCAACTTGCTCCCTTTGATGCGAGGGAGCAGCAACTGTACTCTGAGCTCCTTTCTGATGTCTGAGCTTCTAACCCTATCTCTAAGAGTGAGCCTAACCGCCCTACGGAGGAAACTCATATCAGCCGCTTATATCCGTTATCTCATTCTTTCGCTCGTGACCATAGGTGGAGGGCTGGAACATAGATCGACTGGTAGATCGCAAGCTTTGTCTTCCGGCTGAGCACCCTCCTCACTTCAATGGTCTGGTACAATGCCCACATTACTGCTGGACCTGTGAAAAGGACCCCGAGATACTTGAAATTCTTAACTTGGGGCAGCAACTCACTCCCATCACAGTGGGAGCAATCCACTGTTTTATGGCAGAAAACCATGGCCTTTTCCTGAATACTTCACATTTGGCTGACAACTGCTACAGTGGGTGGTGAAGGTCACAGTCTGAGGAAGCCAACAATATCAGAAACAGAATACAATGATTTGCTAATCCTTTTCAACCTATGTTCAATTGAATACACCTGAACTGATTTTGAACTGATTTTTTTCAAATATTCACTCACTTTGAATTTGATGCCTGCAACACGTTCCAAAACAGCTGGGAAAGGGGCATGTTTACCACTGTGTCACATCACCTTTCCTTTTAACAACAAGTGTCTGGGAACTGAGGACACTAATTGTTGAAGCTTTGTAGGTGGAATTCTTTCTTCTTTCCATGGACACGACGTCCATAATTTCCAAAAACAATTTGAAATGTGGACTCGTCAGACCCCAGCAAACTTTTACACTTTGCGTCAGTCCATCTCCGATGAGCTCGGGCCCAGAGAAGCCGGCGGCATTTCTGTGTTGTTGATATATGGCTTTTTAACTTGCACTTGTTGATGTAGCGATGAACTGTGTTAACTGACAATGGTTTTCTGAAGTGTTCCTGAGCCCATGTGGTAATATCCTTTATACATTGATGTCTGTTTTTAATGCAGTGCCGCCTGAGGGATCGAAGGTCACAGGCATTCAATGCTGGTTTTCGGCCTTGCCGTTTACGTGCAGAGATTTCTCCGGATTCTCTGAATCCCAGTCTTTTGTTGCCCATGTCCCAGCTTTTTTAGAACATGTTGCAGGCATCAAATTCAAAGTGAGTGAATATTTACAAAAAACAATAAAGTTTATCAGTTTGAACATTAAATATCTTGTCTTTGTAGTATATTAAATTGAATATAGGTTGAAAAGGATTTGCAAATGAACGTATTCTGGTTTTATTTACATTTTACACAACGTTCCAACTTCTTTGGAATTGGGGTTGTATAAGTCTGTGAACTGGATGGCTCCCACAGTACCCTCCAAAAGACATGGTCTTAGGCCTTCCCTAAGTCCATAAAGCACACAAACAGATCCTCCTGGAACTGTGGTTAAACAATTGGCTGAAGCCTCCTTTTCAGCATCCTGGCATAAACAGAACGTCCATGAGGTCAAACCAAAGTTCTTCTCCTTGGCTTCCCAGACCTTCTCGAGGAATAAGCACTGGATTTAGGTGCATTTTTAAGTCCAAACAAATGGACACAAATACTGATTATCATGCAGTAATGCTGAAAAACAAAATCAGCTGTTTTTAAATTGAAGATGAAATTGGCATTGCCCAATATATGTAGGTGTTGGCACAATCAGTAACATTAAACTATATCTATCTATATCTCAAGATTTCAAACTTTTCTCACCAGTCCAGCCACAGCAGCTGTTGCTGTGGCGATAGCCGGGATGATCTTGCCGGCTATGCGTTTGGTCTTGAGCCTGTCAGCTGGCTCAATGGAATACATCCTGGCTCTGAGAGCAGATGCTGATGCGATAAAGTCTATGTGGCCATTACTGTCATCGTCCTTTTCAAACTGCAGTGGATTCATCTGTAACCGCTCTACATGTGAAAGACATCATTAATTATTAGATGTAGTGTTACATAGGCTTTTCCACCTAATGGGGTGGAGAAAAAAATAATAGAGTGCATGTTCCTTAACTATTCACACTGTTATATAACTCAATACCACATCTTGTGTGTCCATTTACAAATCCGCTCAGTATTTGTTATGATTTTCTTTAATTGGATACCTGCTGTGACACTGTCAGTAGCAATGGCCTGCTCCAGCTGTGTTATGGCCTCCCTCTCCTCTTCACTGCTTAGAGGCATCTTTATCTGATCAGGCTTCTTTGCTGTCTCATCGGTCACTATACACTGTAAGGGATAGATCCACAAGAATCAACAAGATTATAATTTTTTTACACTCAGATAGAAACCAAGAACTAGATCAATAGAGAAGCGTACTTTCTCTGCGGGCCTGTATTCAGGAATCTTGACATCTGAGAGAATCCTGGTCACAGCCTCTTCAGAGAGATCCTAAGGAAGAAGGAAAAGTTCAGTCAGTCGTTGAGTAAGTGAGTGAGTGTGCTTGAGACAGTGTAAGAGTGAGATTACCCTACCTCATCTGAGTAAGGGATGTTATAAATCCCCGCAAAGAGCCGGGCAGTACTGACAATGAAAGTGAAGTGCCTGATGGGGAAAGAGGAGGGTTTGGCAAGCTTAGATATGAAACATACAATATCAAAAAATGGCTTAAACTGTAATATTAGAATATACTTACAGAGGGTCTTTCAAGTCAAAATCAAAAGGTGCTGGAGGTCTTTTTGGGGACTGCCAAAACAAACCTAAGGAGAATGAGGAAAAATAAAATAATTTTTTTATATTATATATATATATATATATACATATATACACACACATACATACATACACACATACACACTTTGCTTTAAGTTTGCTTTATACTGTAGTTATGTATATTAAATTATTGTGAAATAATCTGGTAACTATGGGTAACCATGTATTGAGAAAAACTTACTTCCGTCTTTTAACCTTGTGTCCAGGGGGAAAGAGTGCAACAGTTGTAGGGCCTATGTAAAAACACAAATAACATGTAAACACTGCATATCATATTGTGGAGCTTGCACCAACACACACAGATCTATTTAATGAATATGTATTTTCAAGATAAGACTCGTTACCTTTCTTTTGAAATACTTTTCGAATTTCAGACGGGCAATTGCAATGCACTGCTCCCACTGGCTGGGCCTTCTGCTGAGTAGCTTAATGACCTGGAAGGACCCCTCCAGACTTTCCCCCACCTGCATCCTCTACACACACACACAAAATAAATATTTTATTAGGTGGTATATTGCTGGCATATTTCATTGCTGACATATATCTACAAAACCACTTTTGAATACAAACTCTTACCTGTAGAACCACTTCAGCAGAGGAGTGGGTCTGCCAGAACGAGTTGTACATGGAGGGCTTGTGGACGAACGCATTCTCAAACTAGACGAAGCCAAGGGAAAAGTTTAGAATTAGGACAGCACACTGACACATACTGTCAGAAATGATCAGAATGATCATTTGTTGGGTTTTAACCAGGCTGACCTTGTCTCTGGCCCATTGAATGGTGTGCTCTATGACAGAAGGGAAAGACTTGAGAGTGCAGAATGGGATCTCCTCTTCTGGGGGGTCCCTCTGGTAAGAAAAGGGAAGGACAGGAGCACTGTAAAAACTAAGGTCTGTGTCTTTGAAGCAGATCTGGTATGGGACAAATAATGCAGGGAAAAAGCTAGAGCAAAAAAAAACAGACAAAAAACAAACACGGTCACACACGGACTCACATGGCTATTGTAGGACTCTGTCAAATTTGGCACAATGATTTCTGTGTGTCCTTTAGTTCCCATGGTGCCAGAGTCCAGGAGAGGTTTCTGATTGGATACACAGCGGCTGAAAATTAAATAGATGCAGAAACACTCCATAACTTGTTGCCAAAATGAGTCAATTATGCATGAGAATACATTCTCAACTCCTACATTCATGAGCATCAGCATGCTCTCTCGAAGTTTATAATGATGTTTAGTCAGTAAAAATTTAATCAGGGACACTACTCAGGGAAACTAACTAAAATCAACTGAATGCTTCAGAAAGTATGGATTCCAACACTAATATTTGCACCAACCTGTCTACATATCTCCGAGCCTCCACGTTGTCCAGCGCTGTGACCACTAGGTTTAGGCGGGAGTAGAAGGAGTCATTGTAGATGCTCTCAGTAGCCGGACACACCTTGTTGAGGTGAGCATCCACCTGCAGGTCTGGGTTGATATCGTGAGTGGCTTCTGCTGCTGTGGTACTCTTCGGTTTCTGAGAGACAGGAAAATCAGAACAAGTCTGTCAGGTTGCATTCCGGGTGCTTTTATTAATTAATATTTTTCTATTTTCCTACAAAATACAACTGCACAGCAGAAGAAACACAATTTCAACAACTATTTAAATTGAGTAAATATTGCAATCAAATCTTGTAGACTTACATTAAAGCATTGAGTTGGCTAGATAAGACAAAGTTAAGAAAAAAAAAAGGAAAATAGGACTTGGGAATTATGGAGAAAAAGAAAAAACGGGATCAGAAAGTATACATCTCTTCACCTGTATATGATGTGGTCTGAAGAGAAACTGACGATTGAGGTTGGACTTTTCTATAAGGTCTGGGTCTGTGATGCACACCTGAGAATTGACAGATGCAGAGGAAGTTTTACTAAATGCATATCGCCAAGCAATGAAATATATGCTCACACATACAGTCATGGAAATTGGGGCTGGGCAATAAAACAATGATAATTATCGCAATATAATTTTCCTCAATAACAATATAACAAATGTTCAATAAATGTTTGATTTAATTTGTTTGAATCATGAACAAATTAGCACTTAATTTTTCTGTTAAGAAAAGAAAGATAATTTTGTTGAGGAGAAGGGACTGAAAAAAGATTACACTTAATTTTATTCATGCATATTTGTTGAAAAAAAGATTTTATCATAACTGTTTTGAAATTTCTACCTCAGATTTGTTAAGTGATCCACTACTTGGCATGAAGTGTTTGTCATGTTCTGACCCCCCCAAAAAAATCAGCCTTTAATCTTGAAAGAAATAATGATTTCACATTTTTCGTGATAATTATTGATATCGAATGATATAAAAATATCCTATCATGATATCATTTTTGGCCATATTGCCCAGCCCTAATGCAAATACAGTCAAACAAAGGAGAGGAAACACCGAAAGACTGCCCACCTCTCCTGAGCTCTTAGCCAATCCCACTCCAAGCAGGGCAAAATTTTTCAGCATCTCACAGCCTATGGCACCACAGCCCACCTGGAAGAGAAGATATTGTAGGATTCATATGGACATAATCCTTAAAATAATTCAATATAAAATAGGCCTTTTGTGCACTACACAATCCTTACCATGAAGACCCTGAGCTTGTGCAGTTTTAGACACATTGATTCACCAATGCAAGCTCGTAATCCATCATACCGATCGCCCCTTGGGGAAAACTCCTCAGCAGAAACAGACTGAAGTGGCCTTACTATTTCAATGGCATCAAGGTAAAACTAAACACAGGAGAAACCGAGAAGGAGATGAAATGAACACTTAAAAACACAAAATGTAATGGTTTCTATAGCTGTGTTGCAATGAATAAAAGAGGTCTACAGTTAAAATGTAGTAATCTACCCATTGCTGCAGTGGCGCAAACTTCCCTGTGAGGGCTTTAAGAACTTCCTGGCTGGCTAGACCTCCTACAGCTGCTGCTAACGGAGGAAGAGTTCCCCTCGCTGTTCTCGACAGACAGCGCACCAACTCAGTATTCACAGAAGCCTGAAAGGAAAGAGGGAAGGAGGAAGGGGGTAAAAAACAAAAAAAAAACAAAAGAGATGTTAAGGCATCTGTGTGCATGCAATCATCTGTCAAAGAAACTATAAGTGCATCTCTGCAGCTTCAAGAAATAAAAACAGGAGGGATGGAAAAAAAGCACTCACTTTGTTCCTGAGAGTTGCATTCACTTCCTCGGTTAGCTGCAGTAAAACCTCAGCATCCTGTAAACACCTGATGGCATCAAAGTGAAAATGCTCACAACTGACTTTCTCACATTTTAACACCTTCACAAACTGAAAACCATAGCCAAGAAAAAATAATATTCTCAGGTACTGTCGGAGTACAGAAAGTAGAACAGTAGATTGGATGTAGACAGATAAAAGCATAGAAATATTTTGTTTACCCAATGTTGGGAAGTCTACTGTGCTGCTCCTGGAAGTCATCCAGAGCCAACATGGCTGCATGGATCTGTAGTGGGGCCTGATGGGTAGATTTAAAAAAGAAAATTTTAATAAATGAAGAAATGACTTCTAAGACTATCTTTGAGATATTCACTGAAACTAAAATTAGCAATGCTGGATAACCTGTCTCAGAAAGCAGGTCACAAAGCTCTGTTGAAAAATAAATAAATAAATAAAAAATAATAGGAGTACACAACTACAGTATACAAGAAGCTACACAATTCTACTGGTCTGCACACATATGTGTTCCTTTACTTGTAAATTTAATGGGAAGGAAGTGTTTTGACCATGAGGGGATCCTGAAGGTATTATGCCTCCATTATTCCTGAACACTGATTGGTTAGATGGTTTGACCAATCCAAAGTAAGCCTGCTCTGGTGTAGGTTACGCAGCATAGTTTACGCTTTTTGCTTTGAACTCTCACCTCTGGTTTACTGTAGTCTGGAGTCAGGACCTGAGGATCACATAACTGTCTCCCTATTGTCTCCTGAAATACAAAAGAGGATAAATGCAGGGTCTTACACACACAAATATCTAAATAAACATATTCTTTGTGTATCTTTTTTTGTTCAGCTGTGATATTTCTGCTTGATATGATAAGTAGTTAACTTACAAATCTGTATGTCTTAGGGGTTTTCACAAGAACAAAGAAACCTCCATGTGCATATGGTTGGAGTTGCGATGTGTCTCCTATTGCAAAACTGTGAGGAGAAAGGACTAATACCACACACACACACACACGGACAGAAATGGCATAGATTAGATAAATGCACTCTTACATCACCTTTTACAGAAAATCTCTCATCAAATCTGCTCTTGGAATAGTTAAAATATAACAAAAGTAATAGTCCCAGTGTCTTATGAAATAAACATTAACCACAACCATATTCTAAATGTTGTTTAAATGGGTAATTAGTCTGGTATGCTAGTGTTATACGATTACAATAATAAACTTACAGTAAAAACATCAAATATACTGAACTTATTATCTACATTGTAGAAATAATACCTGAAACCTGTCGCACGGTGCTGTTGAGTTCCACCATGCCATTGACCTCTCTGAAGACAACACTCTGGCCTGTCTGTAGGCCATGCGGTTGGTTGTCCATGCAGGTCACCACGCCAGGATTGTCCTGAAGGGTCAAAATTCAAAAGGAGAAAAGATGAATTATAGAACTGCATTTTCAGATAATGCCAAAATTCTGCATCTTCTCTGTCAACACACAAATATGTAAATTTAAAAGTGTCTGATAGGAAGAAATTAATTATCACATATGGGATCTAGAAGAATTAAGAATGTGTTCAGATACCTGAGTGATAGTTTGGACGAAAATCTCCTTGGGCTCCTCTCCTGTGGGATCAGACACCTCAAACTCCTCTCCAAAATCACAGAACACCCGCACGCAGATGCCATATGCATCACAGCCAATGAACTGGCAACAACATATGGTAAAACAGTTTAGTTACTACACAGGCAAAAAAGTAAATTTATGTAAAATGTGTAAAACATGGTTTAGCTAATGCTCTGTTGTGGGACCGTAGACCTACTCTGATGGGGGGTTGTTGTGAGTGGCAGAACTCATTCACTCTCTTCTGTAGGTTCAATCTGGCTTCAGTCAGAATCACACACTGGAGGCGAGAGTACAGCAGACAGTCAAGACACTAAATGTTACCTGCAGTCTGATTCCAGAGCAGAAAATAATTCAGGTTTTAACTAAGGTTATCTGCTTAAAAACTAGGTGTTCCGTTAATGAACAAGTAAACAGTTAATGCAGACAGCCCACGGGCCAGTCACTGGCTAGATACACCATCCCAGCATCCAGCAGATGTTTTGGCACCTATGAGATTTAAAATTTTGACCTTCAACTGTAGCATACCTGAGAGCCTGAGAGTGTTTACCTGGTTTGGAACAATCTCAGCATTTGCATTTACAGCTGTGAAGAGGATCATGCTGAAGGAGTGGTTTGAGATGTTTTATTGACAATTTGAAACATTTTCCCGCCATGACATCTTGTCTCTATTGGAAAGTATCGTAACTGCTATGAATCCAAGCTGATCGCACCTTCTGTTCTCCATGAAAGAATAAACTACAAACCTCGCAGCCACATATAGTCTACAGGGGTTGGGTGTTTTCATGCTTACATAGATCACACATTCCTAGTCACCAGCGGGACTGCTGGACAACAATTTTACTGAGAGACTGAGAGCAACCCATTCAAAACTTTCCACGACCCACAGGTTGGTTACAACCCAGATTCTGAAAAGCAATACCTTACCTGATACTTTCTGAGAAAGCTGAGATCAGTGTTGTTGTCCAGAGCAGAGGAAGACATGTCAACATGGACGTAAGGGTTCAACTCTGCGACCCGAGGGCACACTGCCTCCACCCTGTGGTAGAAAGGTAAAAGAGGGTTGGATAGAAAGACACTGCAATAGAATAGAAGAGTGTATGAAATGTGTGAGTGATGATCAGTGTGAGTCAAGTCAGATGTTAAGAGAAACAGTCCCGCTTTGTGGTGAGGTTTACCTCCTCCTCTGGCTCAACACATCCTCTGTGCGGATAAAGAAGTTGGAGCCCAGATCCCAGGTCTCACATTGCTTTGTGTCATGAAGGGTGACCGCCTGTACACACACACACACACACACACACACACACACACACACAGATGCAATTGCTAAGGCCACAGGAAGACCAACTCTCAAGACACACCACATTTAAACATTAAATACTGCCACAGAGTTGGACAAGCATATTCAGTGAGAAAGTGCATACCTTCACACCAGCGAGGACAATGTTCTTTGCTGTGAAACCAGAAGTCAAGTCAAACCACAATTGACAATGCAGATCATTTAAATACGATGGAACTTTATATATGATGTTGTGCAATAATTTGATATTTAGCCTACCTATCTCAATTCCCAGTCCTCCCATACCACTGAGAAAGACTGAGGACTTGGCCATCTGGTGCATTGCACTGTCTCCCAGTACATATCGCTGGCGGCTGGACAGAGGGAAAAGTAAAGAAGAGGAAGTATGAGGGAAAGTGCAAGAATCCAGAAGGAAAGGTGAGGTATAACTGTATTGACTGTAGTACAAAGCACACTACTGTCATGTCTTGCCTTGATTGCCATGAGACGCTTCCTGTAGCTACAAGTACTTTACTAAGGGAGACTAAACTAGACTGTGATGTACAGCCAAAAAAGTGGACCTACGTTACCTGTAAAGAGAGTCGTCAATCTCCATCGAGTCTGCAGCCATAATGGGAGGGGAAGAGGGGGGGATTCAACCGTCTGAGAGATAACGACAAACGTTATACCTATTAAAAAAATAAACGTACAGACCGTGATTACAAAAGCTGTTTAACGTTTTGGTCGTTAGCAGCAATGATCTTAAACCAACGCCCTGTTGTAAGTTAGCTACTTGGCTAACTTACTGTTAATGCCGGCTAAATCTAGTTGTCAGCAATGTTTTTGACCTGACAACTGTCAGCCTCGCGCCAAGGTAAAGTCACACCCGATGAAGTGACGTCTTCTAACAGACAAAGGTTATAGCTGCCATAATAACGCTGGCAGATTATTGAACCTGCTGAATGAAGCGTTAGCAGCTACAGCTAGCTTGCACTGAGTGCCACTGCTGCCTGGTGCCGGTGGCGAGGACACTTGTCATAAACTCGTTAAAAGTGACGACACACACATTAGGCAACAAATAATCCCCCAGAGTAGACCGTTGTTTTAGGTATTATCATCTTGCCAATCAATATGAAAAATTAAATGTAAATAATATTACAATTACACAAATACTTATACGTAGCTACCTGTCAGTATGCGCGACGAGCTGTAGCGATTGAATGGCTGTGACTGGCTGAAAAAGGCGGAATGATTCCGGGTTATTGCAATCACGTGACCAAGGTCATCCAATAGAATCGCAGCATTTTTCAGGACTACATCACATTTCACTTGTTTTGGAAGCGTTACCACCCTAAACACTGCACAAAGTGTCAATCTAAAAAAAAGGACATTCTTATTGTTTTAATAGCAAATATTATTACATTTATATACCTTTTGTCATTGTGTTACTAGGGATGGAATTATAGTGAAAATAATAGATTCCCTTTTTGCTGGGTATCTCCTGGAACACCCTTAAGGGCCCCTTGGGGTCCCAGACCCCAGAACCACTGCCATAAAGTATATAAATGCTCTGTACATTATTATAAATATCAAAAAAAGAAAAGACAAAAGAAAAGGTGGGGGTGAAAGATTCCTGTTATAATATACAGATTAATTAAATTTATAGAGGATTGTCCAGTTTTGAAAATATGTATTTATTTGTTGTTTTCGAGAATGATTTAAAATGTATTTTAATGCTTTTAAAATACTTTTTTAAAAACTGTTTCAGACCTTTAAAAATACAATATGGTTTTTTTCTGAAGCCCCTTGCAAAATGTTGTAATCTTCTTTTACTTTTTGCTAACTTTTATTCATTCATTTTAGATATTTTTTGTATGATTAGTTTGTGCTTTATATGTGCATGGATATCTGTGTACAACTATTGTGGACATCAATGCTCAACTGTTGTCCACAATAGCTGACAAGCAAAAACTGATCATTGACAATGTAGAATCATTTAATTTTTTTTTTTTTTTTAAAGAATAGCATTGTTTGAAACTCCGCTCCATTTGGCAAAGTAAGAAATATTGCTTACGCAATCCCAGCCAGGGAGACAAAACAGAAAATACAAGGTTTGGGTCCACCAATGTTTAAAGAAACAAAGGTCATTAGCCGAGTGAAACATTTACATCACAATGACTCCGATTCTGGGCCACAATGTAAAGAAAACACAAGTCTACTGCTGTCTCTTATACATTTGTGCAATTTGTGTCTGTGTATGCAAGTGCTTGTTAGTGTGCGTGAGATTGTGGATCTTTGTTCGGTCTATGTATCTGAGATTCAAGTGAATTTGGCCTCAAATTTTACTTCTATTTACATCCTGAAGCCGGACAAAGATTGTGTTTAGTTTGTCTGGGACAGACTTTAGAGACACCCTCCCTCTAATCATATTGGCCAAACACACACACAGGAACCTCCCCCAGAACTAGAGCCAAAATCATGCACATGCACACAACAGACTCTAAACTCCAAAGTACCATTTTCACCTCTAGGCCACCTACCCACAGATTTGCTTGCTCCTGGCAATGTGGGGCAGTCGTATGGCACTGCGTCAGCTCCAGCGGCTCGCTGTTGCTCCTTTGAATATTAAGGGGGGTCTACCAGGCAACGTGCAGAGGGAGATGTCAACCCTTTCACGGGTATATGTCACCCGACAGATCCCACCCGAGGGCCTGAAGATCCTCCGTGAATCTGGACAGTAAGTCACTTAAAATGCATAATTTTTTTTAAATAGAACATCTTGTATGACCAATTAACTGCATCATGTAGCTGATTTGACTGTGATACCTTTCTGAATTTTGAATGTCTGTTTTGGGAAGTTCATCATTTACATTGAGTAAACAGGGCTGCTAATGTTTGCCCTAAGGTTAGTCAGATAACAGCAGAGCCGAAAAAATGTATCATTGCACCTTAAAGTCCAAGTGTTTTTTCGGGGGGGGGCACAGTACATGTGATACAGCTTAAGAAACTATAATTCTTACTGAAGCTTTAATAACCACTAAATTTCCTTGTGCAGATAAATAAGAAAACACTGATACAATTTGGCTCTACTTTCATGGTTTCTGTTTTCCCAGGGTGCAGTTTGAGCTGTGGGACTCAGATGACGTCCCTGTGCCCAGGAAGGAGCTGCTTCAGAAGGTCAAAGGTGTCGATGGTCTGCTCTGCGTGCTGACAGAGAAGATTGATGCAGAGGTGTTGGACGCCGCAGGTCTGAGGACAGTCTTTCAGCCAGATGAATGACCTCTGAAATGTACATATATGCATGTTGATGTTTGGTGTACTCCTGCAGGTCCAAACCTGAAGGTCCTCAGTACTATGTCAGTGGGGTTCGACCATCTGACTTTGGAGGAGCTGAAGAAAAGGTAATTCATGTCTTTATATTTTCTTAAAGTTAGTGTGTATATTCATGTGTCAAGTAAAAAAGTGTGTGTGTGTGTGTGTCTTTCCCCCCAGAGGGATCCGTGTGGGTTATACTCCTGATGTTCTGACAGATTCTGTGGCTGAGCTGACTGTGGCTCTGCTGCTCACTACCTCCAGGAGGCTCATAGAGGCCACACATGAAGCCAAGACGTAATGTTACACAATCACACACAAACACACACACACACACCCTCAAATCTATCCATGCGTTTGTTTGTTTTTTCGGTCAAAGGTTAAATACATCTTTCTCTCTCCCTCTTGTGTCAGAGGTGGCTGGGGCACTTGGAGAACTCTGTGGCTGTGTGGATATGAGCTGGCCAACAGCACTGTGGGAATCCTGGGCCTGGGAAGGATTGGTGAGCATACATCATCTGAAACACCACACACAACATGCACATGAGCTTGCCATCAAACTGCCATTTCTGTGAATCTTTATGTGGCGTTTTTTGCGCTCGAAGGTGTTGCCATTGCTGAGCGTCTGGCACCTTTCAAGGTCAAGAAGTTCATCTACACAGACGTGGCCCCCAGGCCTGAGCTGGCCAGTATCATCAATGCAGAGTACGGTAAGGACTATAGATTTGTCGTCACTAAGATGTCTCTTTTTATATTGTTATAATCAATGCACAATAGATACACTTTTGGTCTTTTATTTTAATGTGATGTCTCTTGGTATAGTGTCTTTCGATGAGCTGGCGAAGCAGTCAGATTTCCTGGCGGTCTGCTGTGCTTTAACACCGGAAACAAAGGATATCTGCAACAAAGAACTCTTCTCCAAGATGAAAAATACAGCCGTCTTTATCAACACAAGCCGGTACTGTTATCTTCAACACAAACATGCACCCAAATCACTTCAAAACATAGTGGTGTGTAATGTACTTGACGAAGAAAGATGCAACCTAGCATGAACTACAGACTGGATTACTAATCGGCCAAAACGTGCAACTGCCCTAAAGCCTGTGGCCTCCGGGGCCTCAAAGAAGCTAACCATTATGTGTTATTATTGATTAGTCTGCAGTTTATTTTCTTTATTGATTGATTGATCACTTTGTGTACAAAACGTCACAAAATGGTGATTACCCATTATGTTTCCCCAAAAATGAAATATGTATTTACATTTTCATAATTGTTGCTCTTTAATTTTCAGTTACTCCGTGGTGTCTGGGAAAATAATGAAGCTGAGAGTGCAGTGGGGGGTGAATGCAGGCTAATGTAGCTGTGAGTGCAGTATCTGTGCGCTGCGTATAATGCGTATTTTCTGTTGTGGCAGAGGTGGTGTGGTGAACCAGGAAGACCTGTATGAGGCTCTGTCCACTGGGCAGATTGCAGCAGCTGGGTTAGATGTCACTGTTCCTGAGCCCCTGCCCACAGACCACCCACTGTTTACCCTCAAAAACTGCGGTGAGTCTGCTGAAACAGCCTTAAAAATAGTTGGTTTTCAAGAAACCTGTCATGGCAAGGCTCATTTATCTTTTGAATTCTCTCCTTCCACAGTGATTCTCCCACATATTGCTAGTGCCTCCTATACTACCCGTAATGCAATGTCTGCTCTGGCAGCAAACAACCTCCTCCTCGGCCTGCGGGGCGAGCCAATGATCAAAGAACTAAAACTGTGAGAAGGAACTGGCTCCACTCAACAACTGGCTGAATACTGGACCATCAGGACAACTTGTGTACCTAATTACTCTTTAGGTTAAAATAAAACCAGGACTTTCAGTGTGCAATGGTGTTTTTCCCTTTTTGCTTATGTCTTAATCTTCAGTCAATGTACAATAACATTACATTTTTAATGTTGCTTATGCTTTTTCTTGTGTAAGGTCTGTGCCGTTTCAGCTCATATTTCATAAACATGTAATCAGCAACAAAACTGAATTTCATGTTTTTTTATTCCGTCTATACAATAACTGAACATACCATACAATCTCCATAGCCTTCAACAGTAAAGTGACAAACATTTAGTCCTCTCATGGTTACACTATGTTAGATATACAGAAAAAAACACACAGAAATACTTCAAATTTCGCATATCAACAAAAGTCCAGCTTTTTAAAATAGAGGTCATAAGGCAGCGACTTTCATAATCAGTTTAGGCCTTTTATATATTTTAACATTTTGGCATATTGATAAAGGGGTAATACAGTCAGTGCATTTTCCAGAAATTCACATTAACCGTTTAATCAACAGTTTTAGAAGACAGCACCATAATAATCCTTAACAGACACAGAAGCCATTTTGGAAGGCTACATTGCTCCATCACCTATAACTCTGTATTTCTTAAGAGACAACATCCCAGCTACTGCTTTAACGAATGTGGAGGAGGCTGAATGTGAGCAGGGAACGCAGAGGAACAGACGCCAGATTTGAGATTTAACCACCAGCTTTTTTATATTCTGTGGTCTAGCTTTACTGTTGATTCCAGAGTCGTGAATTATAGGGTTAGCTTATGTTTACAGGGAGAACATCCTGCAAGGCAATTATTCTTCTCAAGTAAAAAAGTCAAGATTAATCATTAACATATTTGTCAAATGAAATTACCATTTTGTACACAACAGTGTAATGACTCTACAGTACAATAAGGTGCCAACTAGAAGTGGAAGCAATGACCATGTGTTTCTCAGTGACAGTGTAGGGGACAAAATACAGCAAGCAATAAAGTACACAAAAAGGCAAACATGTCTTTAAAGTGTTATTTTTTTGGTTCGATTAAACAGAACTCTACAACACTGCACGGAAACTGACTTCAGTTAACCAACTGTCTACCAGTGAAGGTGCTCGTATTTACAACCCGCATGAAGTCAAGCATCCAAAATGGAGTCGATGCAAAAATCCATTGTATGATGTAATTTTTTATGAGCTGTAAATCTAGATCCCTTCACAGCACGTCCGTGTTATTTTTGAATATCACACAAACCGTCAACTGAAACATAGTTTTAAAACAGTATATGACATAATTTATCAAGTTACAGGTAGACATTAAAATACAGTTACTTACATAAAAAACAGCTAAAACTCCTGGAATTTAAAAATGACAGAAGCTGAGTTGTTTTGTTTTTTAAATTCGCCCCACTTGTATTTGCATTTCACAAACTGTGGAAGTATTATGAATCACCTGGGTGCAAAAATGCTACAACCCTTAGCTCGCAAACTCATCCTGATGATAGTGTAAAAGAAGGAGAAACCCTGGAGAGCTGGTAGAGTTGGATAATGGCAATTCAGCATTTTCACAAAGCTCAACATTTCAGCAAACATATTAGTTACAAAAAAAAGAATGATTTGTCTTGTTGGAGTGCTTTTCTAACAGATGCAACATCAGATGTACAGTATAAAGAGATGTGTATAAAGCACTGATAACAAGTACAGTAGCAAATGTATGCAAATGTTTAATTCTTCATTTAGTTTCTTTTGTCTCTCCTCCAACGATGAAACAAACCACAAACGTGCAATATGTACGACTCTGCCTCTCAGCAAAACTTCTTTGCCCTTTTAATAAACCACATACTGTACACACAAGAACAGTAGTGACCAAGGAAACTGGCTGATGTGTGGAAGGTCAGTAAACGGAGGGAAAGGCACTTCGTGCCATATCGTATACAATTAAAGATCACTTTGCACATCATGAAAAAAAATAAGGTGCATTTACAGCGCATTTTACTGTTAAGTTATCTAGCTGTTGAAATTACATTAAAATGCAATATTATATCAATGTTAGTTTTCTCAAAAAGAGACTGCAAGGCGAAATCTGCAGTTAGTCATGTACATGTAGAAGTTTTTTGTTCTCATCGAAAAAATGTGACTTAATCCTACGTTCACAATTCTGTCTGGCAAGCGCAAACTGGGCCAATTCAAACATTCCCATTTCTCCAGAACTTGTATTTGACAAACTAAATGCATAAAAAGCCAGAAATTTATTCCTGCACTCACATGAAGTGTGAAGGCCCCATCAGTGCAAGGTGAATTATCTTACTAGCTACCAGACTTCTTCTCAACTTGAACTGAGCTCAGCAACACTTCTGATGATGGTAATTCAAAGGTGTCTTGGACTGAAATGCAACTATAGAGGTCAAACATATCACATCAATTTGACCTGACTCAGTGATTGAACATGCATGAAAATCCATTATAAGAACAGTTTCTTGGGTTGCTCCTGTCCTGGCCTCAAATTTAATGACCTTAGTAAATAAAATAATCAAGTTTATATTACTTGTCCAGTTCATGACATTTTTACTACATAACAAAAACTGAAAACAACACTAGCAGCTCCTGTTTTTCAAAACGTTACAGATGTCAGCATTACCCAGGCCTGTCTCACTGTCTCTTATCTACCTTTTTGTGCAGTAGACAAGACCATCAACAGTTCTTAGTACCTTCAGGCATCACATATCTGGCATCCAAACTGAATCTGAATCAGTTGGTCCAGTCTATGTAACTGCCATTGCACAAAAAAAGGCACAGTCACTATGCACGATTACAAGGACTGAACAGTTCGATGTGTGATGGTGCTAAATGTCTTACAGACATGCACTGAAAAATATACACATAAGCACACTATTATATATGATATTTAATGTGTGGTGCTGCACAGCTAGCTCTCTGATCTGCAAACACTAAGATTGATTGTTATAATTACTGAGTCCAACTCGCTCCAATAAGCATAAAGGGCTCACCTCAACAGATATAAATTTCACCTAACAACGAGAGGGCTAACATGATACCTTTCAGAAACAGAACAGTGTGGCAGCTTTAAAAGCCAAGCCAACTGTATACTGACCTGATATTACGCAATGTCCATGGGCTGCATTTATTGACATTGATGGAAAATCCTCATAACACTCATGATATTTCTACAGGGGATTATACAGCGTATGTGTACGGTACTCTATGATGAATCCACAGCGATAAATGTGGAACCTTTGCATGTCCTGCATCCATATAACCCTTTTACAAGCGAAATGTGTTCAGAATAATCTTTACCGACTGGATGGTACAGGTTTCTTCTGGGTGGGAAAAAGTGTGATTACATTATCATCCCCATCTTTGGTCTGTGGTCAGGACTGGTTACTTTAGACAAATGCTTTAGAAAATTCTTGGGACTTGAAATTCAGCCCATCACGATTCTTAATGTATTTATCCTGTCGGCCCACTCTACTTTGACACCGTAGCCTCGGTCCTACAGCAGGGCGTTGGACATGTTACTGTTCTGCCAGCGCAGACAGGTGGTCTTGGAATGCTTGTATAGGTGGGAGGACTGGCTGAAGCGCTTTCCACACTTGAGACATGCGTAGGGTTTCTCTCCTGTGTGGACCCGGATGTGTTTCTTGCAGTCGGTAAGCGTGAGGAAGGTTTTGCAGCAGATTTTACAGGCGTATTTCCGAGCTCCCTCAACCACCAAGACATTGTGCTCCGACAGAGCCTTCTTGCACTTGGACAGGACGTCTGCTGAAGCTCGGGTCAGCTGAGGGGGGAGGGAGGTGGGCCTGCCATTGTTCATCTCATAGCCACCGCTCTTGTTTAGAAGCAGAGGACTTGCCAGACTTGAGGAGGAAGAGGCAGCGTCCTGGAGGACGCCACTTACTCCTTCTTCTCCTCCCATGCCTGTGGTCATTTTTGGAGCAATACGTCTGTAACCTGGATAGCCCAGAGCAGCAGCAGTCGCACCTCCTGCCCCTCGTGAGGGTCTTGCCAGGGAATGAAGCCCCAGACTAGAGCGCTGGAAGTCCAAACCAAAGGGATCTACTCCTCCACGCCCTCCACTACCACCTCCCCCATTTCCTCTAGAGTTCCCTAAACCATCATGCAGGGGGCGCAGGAATAGAGAATCAGCCTGTAGGTTGTCCCCATAACCGTTGTGACTCTCACCACCGAGCGGACCTGACTGCAGAAGAGAAGAAGCAGAGCCAGATGGCCCGGCAGCTTCCTGTCTGAGCAGGAAGTGATGTGCTACTGCATTGCCAGTTGTTGTGTTAGGGAGGTCATCCTCTCCAGCAACCAACCCTGTACCGCCACTTCCGTAATCCTTAGGGCTGAGGAAGCTGGAAATACTAAAACCAGGTTTGCCACCAAGTCCATTATTGCACCCAAAGCCTCCTCCGACTCCGCTGCCTCCTCCCATGCTGCTCTTGAGGAGAAGCTGGGTGCTGGGCTGCAGCAGGGAGTCAGAGCTGGGTTGGGGTTCAGAGGTGAAGCTGCGGTCGCTGCTCTCTGGGCTCAGCTCCGCCTTCTCCTCCTCCTCCTGGCCTCCGGGCTCAGCCCGGTCGCTACCTTCAGCCTGTGATGTGACGTCGCTGATTTCATCAGTTGGCTCAGGTGAACTTAGGGGCTCTCGTTTAACCACCACCTAGTTAAAGTAAAGGAGGAGTTTCATCTAAGGCCAAACGAGATTTGTAAAAAGTCAAGGAGCATGCAAAGACAACAGGTAAACTAGAGCAGCCTAAAAGGAATATTCCGTTCACCGTATCATCAGTATCATCATGTTTTGCTGATGCTGTGAGGTTTGAAAACATTTTTTCTAATACAGTTAAGCACATGTTAAGGAAATTCTCACACCATCTTTACTAGGGGTGTGGCAGCATTTTAGGTACCCTGTGGAAACAATAAATGGTGACAGAGTGACAGACAAGACACAAACAATATATAAGCAACATTTAAAAAAGGCACCGGTATTGTTTTGCATTTTGGGACTTTCAGTCGAATAAAAGAATCCAGTCATGTCTTTCTTTGAGGATTTCTTAGTGTTAAAATATCACCTCGTCTCATGAGCTAACTGTATCGTCACACTTTCACAGTCTTTACGCAATGCCGCTGTCACTGGGGTTCATCCTCTGTTGCACCTTACTTTACACATTGTTATATTCTATTGTCAATCTCCATGACTGCTTCACATTTAAGTCATAAACTGCTTTGCTTTGGCCAGATATTTTATAACATCCAACGTCATTTCAAACCACTTCTGTCACACTGCGGAGCTGCTTTGATGACACATTATTGGCAGCTGTATTCATATTATAATATAGCTGCCAACTACGCATTATTCTTGTTTTGGGCCCCTTAATACAACTACTCACACGGTTAAATTTGTTCTGTTTCTGTCTGCTGATTTTCAGTGGCAATGACTTAAAGCTATAAAGTTTGAGATTCTTCTTTTTACTCTTGGGTAACATGTAGCCTTATGTAGAGGGGCAAACATTATAATGATGATCTAATCTCACGAATATGCAGGTTGCATTCACCAAGTTGACAGAGGGGGTTATGACAGCACATTTGTGCTGTACAATGAATATGAAATGTTGTTGCACAAGGCTTAATGAGTTAGTTACTTTGTCATAAACAAGCAAATCAAGCCACAACTTTACCTTCTGTTCCTGCTCTTCAGCCTCCTCTGTCCCTGATTTGATCTTCACCCCTGCTCTATTGTCCTGCTGGTCCTGGTCTTCCATGTCCTCCTCCTTGCTCACCCCTCCCTGCATTCTCCCCAAGTCCTCCCTCTCACAATGTCCACTGTCCGACTGGCTGGGCATCTGAGGATCATCCTGGGACACCCCTACTAGGCCAGTGATTGCGGCGTCCAATTTGGATTCATCCCCCATCTTGTGGGAGTCCGGGGAGAGTAGTGCTCCTTCCTCTCTGTCTGCGTTCACGCCTCCTTCTCCTAACAGCCCCAGATTAGGAGCAGAGGGGCGCTGCCTCTGTCTGGGTCTCTCCTCTGACAGGCCCAGGGCCAGAGAGGGCTTGCGTTTGTGGAAGCGACGGATTGGGAAGGAGGCTCTCTGCTCAACCACTCCCCTGCCAACTACATTTCCAACTCCGTCCTCCTCTATGCCACCCAAGGCAGAGCTCACCAAGCTAAGCCCCAGCTGCTGCAGGAGGAAGGAGCGCTGCAACTTTGACGTGGCAGCGTTTGCTGCAAGGTTAGCACTGGCTGCTAGATTAGGGTTCGCCGCTAAATCTGCTACTTGCTGCTGCTGCTGCCTGTGCCTATGCTGCTCCTGTTGAGGGTGGTGATGGGTGGGTCTGTCGGATGATGGGGACATGGGCAGGGTGCGCGTGGTCAGGTAATGTTTGCAGGCCTTGACTACATTGTTGAGGTGCAGATGTGAGGCTGCAAGGAGGATATCCATGACGTTGCTCTCGCCAAGCATCAATGTGGAGGTGTACATCATGTCGACAAGAGCAGCAAAAGCTTCAGCTGTCACCACCTGCAGGTACACAAGACGTTGACTGATCATCTTTGCTACAGAGAGTTTAAGACTTGTCAGAAGTTTTTACTGACTCACTATCACCACTATTGTTATCTGACGTTGAAGAGTCTCCTCGACTCCTGCCTCTTATCACCAGCGTCATTACACTCTTCTCCATTCTCATCACTATAAACATTTTTGTAATATCACCATCCTTGCCCTCTTTTACACAACACTGTTAAGATCTTAACCTCGCTGTCCAGCTGGATCATGTTCATGCTAGCATCCCCCTCTGCAACCGTAAACAGGGCTCTGAAGTGGGTGCTGCAGGCCGCCAAAACCGATCGGTGGGCCTTGAAGTGTCTGCTGCCCACCACAATGACACAGTCGCACAGCTGACCGTGGACACGCTGGTAGTTGAGCTGCTGGAAGATCTGCTCGAAGTGGCCTGGGAAATCCATGGCCCTAAAGACAGAAGCAGGTCAGAAGGTTGAAGGTGGCTGAAGGGGGAGAGGAAAAATGTTTTGAAGATGAAGCGATCAGTGGAATCAGTTTTGATAATCAAATTATTGTTTAAATAATAACATTTGCTGCTGCCTGCATCTGAAATTTGATGCTTTCCCCTGTCATGTGTTGTAGTAAACTGAACATCTTTGAGTTTTGGATTGTTGGTAAACAATGGACAGGGATGAGCATTTTCTGCTTCCTAAAACTGTGAAGGTGAAAGACATTATTCTGTGGTATTACAGATAAAGAGTAAAACATCCAGTGAGATTATGAATTCATGTGCACCAAGAGCAATGTTTTCCAGTGGGCTCAAGCAATATGCTGTGAAATAATTAGCACTTCAACTAGTCCAACTGTTTACTGATGCTTAGTGTATTTAGTTAACGTGACAACAACACATTAATAACACAGTAGCTACAGAGTACAGAGCGTAGCTGTAATAACGTTAGATGGGTACTGGATAGTTAGCTAGCAAGACTAGATTGGTTTACACAGGTCAAGTTAGCTAACGTAACTAGCTTATGTAATGAAGGTGAGATTAGAGAGCCAGGAATAATTACCTTGAATTGAAGAAAGCGTAGGTAACACGAGACAGAAACCGGGGCCTGGCCAGAAACGGACAAGGCTAAAGTTAGCTGGCCACTAACCAGCAGATTGCCTGTTAGCTAGGACAGAAGCAGTAACGTTAGCATACGGTCACCCGGCTGGACCGCTTGTGTCGAAGCAGCTTTTTTCCATCAATTGTAGCTTTAGCTGGCCAACATTTCTGCTGCTACGCCCCGCGTCCCCCCTGTAGTCCACTACCTGAAAATTTGCTTGCACTGAATGATTTGGCTGTTGGGGCCAAAATTGCCCGTGATGTGCGCTCACGGTGACTGCAGCTGGACACGTCTGTCAGTGTCACCCCTAGACGCAGCAAACAAAACAGCCGTTTACAAGACAGATAATGATTCTCATTTACTATCCGGGTCCGATATGGACGTGTTATGATTTCTATTTATTTTATCACACTCAGACGAGTTTTCCCAACCAGACTCACACGGTGGCGCTGTGCTTCACATCCATGCCCATGACCTCGCCGAGGTGAAAGGCTGAATTTATACCTTTCACCCAGAAGGTGTCGCTGCTGCAGCCACAGAGCCTGGGTATCCAAAGAGTAAAGACAGAGTCAAGATGTTTACCCTTTGATTTATGGATGTCACTTGTCATGCACCTTTTTTTAATACTCATTCTGCCACTGTCTTCTCATGTATGGTATGTTAATCATTTATTTATTTTATAATTTATGTTTACAATAAATAAAATACAACTATATCTCACTATTTTAAAGGATATACATTCCACTTGCCCTAATATACAAGGCTTTAATAGAACATACGTATGGTAGATTCTTGCAGATTAAAAACAAGGGGAGAATAGAGAATGTGGGACTATATACTGTGTCATGAGTTTTTTTGTATTGAGGACAATACTGAACAACCATAACTTGATTATTTAATTTGTTTGTTTTCTTTACTGTTTATTATGCTAATATTTTTAAATCTTTTTTTAGTACTTATGCAGCCTATGTATTTTGCATAATTTGGAATAAAGTTTGCATTTAAAGCACTTTGATCTGGCTGCTGAATTATGTCTGTTGATACCTAATAAAAACACCTTTCCAATATGAATGACAGCATTTATAATACTAATAACACAATAAGAACAGTTATTTTCAAGTACTGCAGATACTGAAAGAATAAATGGTTTAAGAACCATAGACTGTATTCATATGTTAAGAACTAAATCAAATTTTATAACACTTATCTATATCATTTCACATACTTGTGTACATACTAACAGTCCTGTCTATTATCTACTTTATTTGTTTAGCTTTGTTGTCCATATTCTTAGCTATTAAGTCTATTTCTGTGTAAGTAGGCCTACATTGAGAGCAATGGGAAAAAAACCCATCAAATTCCTTGTGGGCATAGACTACTTGGCCAATAAAGCTGATTCTGACACATAAATTACATTATAAATACAACAATGACAACAATGTTCAACTGTTTATTAGCTTGCAGGACAGTTATGTATGTTGTTATCTATCTGTTACATAGTCACATTGAGAAAATAGCCTATACATATTCAGATTTAAAACCTGATACTACCAATGTGCAAAATACAGTACAACCACAAATTTGAGTTCGCTGCCAAACATTATTTCACCATCACCTGTAATTTATTGGTTGAAAAATCTCCAAAGGCTGAAAAGCCGCCACTAGCAGTAGCAAATCGCCTATTGAATAGTACTCTTAATTCTTAATTTAATATTGTATTATACATTCCTGGTCGAATTTACGAGTTTTGTACCTTGGACGATAGCATAGCCTGGACGGGACTCTTGCCGAACCCGGAACTACAAGGGAGAGAAACCTCTTGCCCCACTTGGAAACACATGAAAACAACTATGGCTGCCTCCTGCTCGTTGGTGTGTTGTGGAGAGGAGAGAGAGTCCGACAAAGCTGTTATTGGTGACGATCTCACATTTGTTGGCTGTCGAAACGTTTTCTAGAACAAAATTGTAATTGTAATCGCGCTTGTCATTGTCGGTCGTGCTTATCATAATTATTTTAAACACCCATTTATATTTCACACGTGGGTGCTAGCAACAGGGCTAAGTTAGTTGTCCACTGTTGTGCTGCTGGCCAGAGTGGAGTTTGAGGTTTTTATTGTGTATGAAGTTAAATTTCACAGTAGCACAAAAACAAACGTTATTCAGAAATGTGTTTTATCTTGTGGGTTGCTGTTAATTAATTCAACTTAATGTTCCTGTGTATCTTAAATCCTAAATGTGTTCTTTACAGTATGAATCACAATAATTGACAGGTTTCTACTTATCACAGTACGCTTTTCAAACGGAAGCGTAAAAAATGGAGACAGGCTGGATTTCACGATGTACAAAAACGCAGATGAGAGTAACCCTAGGAAAAAGAGCCGACGGATTTTGGTGAGAAAGACTGAAGGGCTGCATTCATCCTTAGTGCTATGTATTTGCACTGCACCTTGTGTTTATGAGATGACTTGTTTAGGTTGGCTTTCATTGTTGTGTTGCTTCTGTTCCCCCTGTCTAGGTTGCTGAATCAGAAAGACTTTCCTATGTTGGAAATAATTTTGGAGCGGGGTCCTTGAAATGCAACAACTTTTGCAAGTAAGTTAATGTGTAGCATATTTTGAGATATTGTGACTGTGACAAACTAACACTGTGAAGAGAGTTAATAAGTGTGATGTTTGGTGTCTGTTTAGATATTATGTAGGCGTTCTGAACAAGCAGACCATGCAAATGGAGGTGCACAGTGCTCAGCTCTTCAACATGCAACCTGTTATACCAGGTAAAAGGACAACAATCACCAGTGTGTGTTGATTACAATGCTGAAGGTACCATTCATGCCTTAATGCAGCTGATAATGAGTCTACACACCCCAAGTTACAGATAACTATGCAAAACAACCAGACCAAGATCTTTTTGAAATTAACTGATCCAAATGCAGTGTCATGTATTTGTGCTGTTTTTTTTCTCTGTCAGCAGACACAACAGAGACTGCAAAACCCCAGGACACTACTCTGACCTACAGAGACAAGGTGATTAGTTGTTCTGTTTTTTTAATTAATTAATTTTTTTTGAAGACTGGGCTTATGTAAGAATAAACTAATTGTATGTCGCACCTTCTCTTTAGGTTGACTCTCTGATTGAGGCGTTTGGTACCAACAAACAGAAGAGAGCTCTGAGCTCCCGCAGGCTGAATCAGGTGGGCAGTGATACCCTGCATCAAGCAGTGGCTAAGGCTGCCAACACTGTGATCGACCAGAAGGGTCTAGAAGGTAAACTAGTCATGGATATGGAAGTCAGGAGTTGACAAGTCATCAAGTAGTTATGAGAGAGTTCACCATATGGAATTCTCAGAGTGGTCGGTTAATAAATAAAGTTAATAATAATAACAAAATAAAGTTATCTTTCACTCCACAGTCTTCTCCTGTTCATTTTGGTACCACGACTTTATCGTTTTTCTTCTCTCTGCCTTCAGCTCTACAACAGGAAGTGGCTGAGACAGAGTCCCAGGGAGACCTGGCTCTCCACTTGCCCCCCTGCAATGCAGACGCCGACAGACCTGACAACGTCTACCTGTTTGACGATCGTATCCTCTTTGTTTGTGTTTTTATGTGCAAGTGTTAATAAAGAAATGCAAGAGCAGTAGATGGGGGGTAAACAGATAGTGTACAATAGTTGGAGGTGAAAGCTGCAGCTGAGTTTGCTTGTTCGGGTCTCCATCCTTAATCAATATCTACAGTCATTAGTCCAGCCGAGTTTGGGGCTTTGGAGCAGGCTGGTTCCAAGATGGCAGCACTCACCACTGAGGAGCTGCAGAAGATGAGAGATGACGGAGGGTAGGGTGACAAAGAAAGGGCTCACGTGTGCTGAGACATTTTATTAAGCTGCATTTAGTTTCCTTGTGTTCTAATGTCTTTTTTTAAACACTTTTTATTTAAGGAGCCTGTGTGTCGTGAAGCACCTGGAGAACATGGCAACTGTAGGCGAAGCCAGAGATAAAAGGGCGCGCTGTATCTTCTACCTCTCTCTGCTTCTCAAACTGGCACGGCAGAAAAGCGTCACCCGCAAGTGTGAGTTATGTTGTTTTGCCTCCTTAATGTGTTAAAAGTGTTCTCACCCACATCTCTGGAGCAGACACTAATTCTGATTTATGTTTACATATACAGTTGGCCAGGAGGAAGGCTGTCCTCGTATCATTCAGAGCAAACTATTGAGAACATTTACTGTGGAGACTTTCAACAATGGCAGGTATGATGGAACTAAGTAAAATATATATATTTGTTTTGCACATTTTTATATACAGTCCCCTCCAAAAGTATTGAAACGGTAAGGCAAATTCCTTTGTTTTTGTTGTTCACTGAAGACATTTGGGTTTAAGATCAAAAGATGAGTATGAGACAAGAGTTCAGAATTTCAGCTTTTGTTTCCTGGTATTCACATTTAGATGTGTTAAACAACTCAGGACATATCACCGTTTGTATTAGACCACAGCATTCTTAGGTGAGCAAAAGTAACAGAACAAATAATCTTAAAGTAAATAACATTTAATATTTGGTGGCATAACCCTTGCTTGCAATAACTGCCTCAAGCCTGCGACCCATCGACATCACCAAACTGCTGCATTCTTCATTTGTGATACTATTCCAGGCTTTTACCGCAGCTTCTTTCAGCTCTTGTTTGTTTCGGGGTGTTTCTCCCTTCAGCCTCCTTAAGGAGGTGAAATGCATGCTCTATTGGGTTAAGGTCAGGTGACTGACTTGGCCAGTCTAAAACCTTCCACTTTTTTCAGTGTGCTTTGAGTCTCCTCCTGCTGCATGATAAACTTCCTTCCGATTAGTTTCAATGCATTTCTCCATAAATTAGCAGACAAAATGTTTCTGTCCACTTCTGACTTCATTCTGCTGCCGCCATCATCAGTTACATCATCAATAAATATTAATGAGCCTGTTCCAGAAGCAGCCATGCAGGCCCACCATGACATTACCTCCACCATGCTTCACAGATGAGCTTGTATGCTTCGGATCATAATCAGTTCCTTTCTTTCTCCACACTTTGGCCTTTCCATCACTTTGCTAGAGATTAATCTTGGTCTCATCAGTCCATAAGATTTTGTTCCAGACTTTTGCAGCTCATCTCTGTACTTCTTAGCAAATTTCAATCTGGCCTTCCGATTCTTCCTGCTGATGAGTGGTTTGCATCTTGTGGTGTGGCCTCTATATTTCTGCTCTGAGGCTTCTTCGAACAGCGGATTGTGATACCTTCACCCCTGCACTGTGGAGGTCGTTGGTGATGTCACTTACTGATGTTTTGGGGGGTTTCTTCACAGCTCTCACGATATTTCTGTCATCAACTACTGTTGTTTTCCTTGACCGACCTGTTCAACATCTGTTGCTCAGTACACCAGTAGTTTCTTTTTGAGGACATTCCAAATTGTTGTGCTTGCTTTGCCCAGTGATTGTCCAATGGCTGTGGTCGATTTTCTGTCTTTTCTCAGCTTGACAATGGCTTATTTTTCTCCCATAGACAGCTCTGTGGTCTTCATGTTGGTTTATCCTCTTTAACAGGAAATGCAGTCTTTATAGGTTTGAACCAAGGATGAAAACTTAGACTAGTCATGCAGAGCTATTTAATGTTTGGACAATCAACCTAAAAGGCAACGCCTGGGCAACAAGAAACATCTGTCAGTCACATGTTCCAATAGTTTTGCTTTCTTGAAAAATGGGTGGGTTCAAACAAAGGGTGGTATGTCCTGAGTTGTTTAACACATTTAGATGTGAATACCAGGAAATGAGAGCTGAAATTCTGAACTCTTGTCTTATACACATCTTTTGATCTTAAACCCAAATGTCTTCAGTGACCAACAAAAACAAAGGACTTTGTCTTACCGTTCCAATACTTTTGGAGGGGACTGTAAATTACGCCTTGTAAACATGCATTTCATAACTACTGGCATGCGTCTGGAATTTTTATTTGGCTGGATTCAGTTTGCAATTGCATATTAAAAATGGTGATCACTTTGAATTGTCTTTGCCAAATTTCAGAAAGGGTCTACAATTGTCTCTTGCAGTATTTTGCACCACTTTCTGTGTATTGTTTATATCGTAACGCATACAAATACATACATACATTTTCTGTGGTTTGGCCTCTCAGCCTTGTATATAAACACACACAGGTGTCACTTGTTCACCTCACCTTTCCCCTTTTAGGGTCCAGAACATGGTTTCTTCCTCAATGCGTGCCAAATTAGCAGCTTACTCCTTGGCCCTGCTGCTTCATATGGGTCACATGACTGCTGACCTCACATTACTTCACCGTGACCTGGCAATCACAGAGGCCAGGTAAAAAAATAAAAAATAAAATAAATAAAGGGCTAAGTCTGCATTTATATATAGAAACTGAAAGAAAAGTGTATTGTTTACAAATTGTGTTGCAGTTAAGTTTGGCAAATGCATTTAACATTAACAGAAAAAAAAAAAAAAATAACACTAGTTGTTACTGTTTGAATAAGTCAGTGGTGTTGACTCAGCTGAATGTATTGATGCAATTTCTTTCTGCTTATGGTTAATCATCACATGATTAGAGTTGTGAATTGTAGGATTTTTGACTTGAACCACACCACATAAAACACTGCATTATAAGTACTCTGCCAGCATACATACAAACTGTTTTGTTTTTTTGTGACGTCCTATAGGATGATTGAAGTAGCAAAGTCAATGGGACTGACTTTAACTAAACCGGCCCGGGGAAAGTCTGACGAGGCTGGACTGCGAGACGACCACAGGCAGGCCTCTCTAGTCCTACCTCTGGTCAAATATGATCAGTTCATGGAGAGACGGAAACGCAAGAAAATGCACTGAAGATCGAGATGAGACAAGAAGTTGGATAGAGAGGAAGTACTAAAAGAATTGGAAATGCCACAAACAAGATCTGTTTATTAATGCATTTTGTAGACAAATAAAGTGGTGAACTTTGAGTTGTACATATTGTTACTTAATGCTTAGTGTACAACATACAAAAAAGCGGAGTAATGGTGTGTAAACAAATTCTAGATGGCAGAAAACATCTAGCTTTAGACAGTCAAAACTTATAGGCACATTTGTAGACCGCACATATAGCACATTTAACTTTTTCCTTTCTATAACTGGTTATTACCAAGTGAGTCTGTGTGGTTGCGTGTCACCGCAGCTTGCTGGTAGTCTTTGGAATCCATCACATTTTAAAAGCAACACGGAGGACAGGACACGAAAACACACACTCACCAGGAAACAGAGCAGCTCTGTGCAAGAGGCAGAAGCTTAAGTTTGGCTTTGTTTTTTTGTATTTTTTTTTTGCATATACACCTCACACTATGACCTTCCCTAGCTACAATCATTGATTGATTTAGAAAGTCAAACAAGGCACAGCTTTACTTTGTAGCATAAATGAAGCTGGCACCTCTGAAGCCTCTTGACTCCTGCTAGGAATTATATGTGCACTTCCTAACCAGTGAGTCTCAGAAGCAAACTGACAAAACCAACAAAGTAAGACCAACTTGTAAAAGGACATGAAAAGGTTAAAGCTTCGGTATGGAAATGTTTGTTTTAAGATGTAGGACTGTGACTATGCTTGAATGTGTTGGACTCCAGTTTCCTAGAATCTACATTTGATGAGTGCACTGGAATTATATCATAAACGTACAAATGTTCCGTCACCCTTATGCACTGGAAGGTGGATGGCCCCTTTAGTTGTTTTACTGGGAGCAGCCTCACTCCATGACTCTTAACTCCACCGCACAGTTTTAGAAGGTCAAGAGTGCCCCAAATGTACGAAATACAAAGTCAAAACTGACCAGATGTTGACATCTTGGTTTATCTTGACCTCATTGATTTCCAAGTGCTTGCCAGTATTCACAGGATAGAGCAGAACATGCTGCCGCTATGGCAACCGTTTTCTACAGTGGCGCTGATCCTGGTTGTCATAGAAATTCCAAGTCGTGAAGGATACTGGGTTGAGGCGAGGCCAGAAGGGGAGCTGGCCAATGGACGAGGTGGAGGGCTTTCCAAAACCCAGGGAGGAGCAGATGTAAAGCTTAAAGAAAAATGTAACGTTGTTAAATAGTAATAAATAATAACTTATTTACTGTATCTTTATATAGTAATGTAGTATTTATCAAACAAATCAACAGGACTGTTGCCGGTTGCCTAGCTACCTGTTATTAAGGCTGAACAATTAATCAAAATATTATGGAAAGCGCAATACGACCATGTGCAATATCTAAATCGCAGGAGCTACAATTTTGATACAGGTAAAATATGTCATTATAAATGAAGCATTGTGATGCTACAGAGATGCCCTGGGCTTAATATTCTCCAGATGTAAGGTACACAATTGTTTGGTACAGACCCCAGCAAAAATTACAATCATTTGTATATTTATTTCAGTGAAAATCAATTCCCCCTAAAATTGACAACATCACAACTGCAAAATCTGTCAATAATCACAAATTATTTTGCACATTGTTGAGCCCTACCTGTTATTATGCCTTAGGACACTGTTGTTGCGCAATACACAGCTGTCATTACCAGGATCCATATGTAGCAATGTTTTCTTGTTTCCCGGGTGGCCCTGGAACAAGAGATTGTCATGGATAACACCTTTTACTGGCCCTTGCACAGCAATGCCACAGCCCTGTGCTGGTTGGACACGGTTGCGCAATACCTAAAGATAAAAATCATATAAAATGCAAGTAATGTATTAATATTTCATTAAGGAGCAATGTGCAGTGTTGTAAGAGTAGTCGGTGTTCATGCCTCAGTCCATCTCACCTTGATGTCAGCACCGCCAGAGACTTGGATCCCATATCCACGGTTTCCAACCACATCATTCTCCACAATCTGCCCACTACCGCTGAAACTGACACCGTGGCCACTGTTTTTATAGATGCCGTTACCACGAAGCTCTACTCGACAGTCTTTCTCCACCGTAACGCCACCCCGACCGTTTTCAAGAACGCAGTTTGTAACCAGGCGGGTCAGCTGACTGCTCTGCAGCACAGCAATGCCAGTGCCACGGTTACTGTTTAGGAGGTTAGCAAAAACATTCAGGGGTTCACTGCTCTTCACGTACAGACCGACCGCTACAGAAAGGGAGAGGGAAAGATGGAGAGGACATTAGAGACAAGAAGTGAGCGACTTTGTCCACTTGGCACTATGTACTGCAGGTCTTTTCATTACCTCCATTGTAGGTCATGCAGTTGCTCTCCACCAGGGCCACACTGATGGAACGACGGGCAGAGTGGCGCTCATCCTCACTGTCCAGATCACTCTCCCATGCAAACAGCTCCCCCTCTTCATTCAAGTTCTCCTGCCCTTCTCTCCCTTCTCCCTCTACCCCCCTCCTTTCCCCACTACCTCCGTCTCCCCCAATCCCTTCCTGTCCCGGCCAATTCCCCTCTCTGGCCTCGATGTTCTCCGGGTCCTTCCTGCAAAACACTGCCAGTCCGTACATACAGTTATGGGTGATGTAGTTTCCCAGAAGCTGTGGGAGGCTGGACGACATAACCCACACACCACAGCCTCTGTTACCTGAAGAAATAATAAGGAAGAGGAGGAAATTAACCATCTGTGCCATTGTTGGTATAGATAAGATCAAAGGTGAGCTTGTATGTCACGACACATCTATGATGCTGCCATTGACAGGCTGAAATTACATACAGTAGACGTGGTTTCCCTCAATTAGTCCGCGGCCTCTCTCTCCCACCACAATGCCGTCTGAGTAACCATAACAGATGTAGTTGTTCCTCAAGATGGGGTCTCCTCCTCTGCGGATGTCCACCCCCCCCCACTGGTTCTCTTTGATCACATTCTCTGGAATTGACCACAAATGGTGCTTTTACATTCTGTAGCTGGCACACTTCAAAAGGGGGGAACATTAAGAATGCATCTGGCATGCTAATGTGGAAAAGGAGCTTGGACAGATCCACTCACACACCTGTTATAATCCCTCTGCCATTCTCATTTATAGCTATCCCTGCTGCCTGGCCCTGGAAGATGTGATTCCCACTAAAAGAGAAAGTGAGGAGAGGATGTTGAACAAGTTCAGACCTTATGTAGTAGTCTATGCAGACACACTGGGTTAGGCTTGCTTGTTTATGTTACCAACTACACACATCTTACATTATACAACACTGCTTATATCACAGTGTAAAATGCTAGGTTATCTGTAGCAGCAAAACATATACTACTGCACTGCACCAGTCATGGTGAACCTGAATTTGCTTTAATGAAATGATCAAACACCAGAAGTTATTTATTTTAAAGAAAGAGGGTTTTAATAATTTTATGGATATCTGCAGAAATGGTGCAAACATACTTTCATGATATCTCGGGCTGACTGCCAATACCTACATTCATAACTTGGACAGAAAGAACACAATGAACCATAGAAATTACTTTCTCTTAACTGTATTAAACTCCAACATTGCACATGTTAGTCTTAGTCTTATTATTATAAATGAATGATGGCTGAATTCCATTTAGCTGCTTCAGAGTCCTGGTTTTGTTCATGCTGGCTCACTTTCACACTGTCCACACTTAACTGGGAAACATCTGGGAGTCAAAATGTCTGCTGTGAAACATACTTATCGTAGTGGTGGTTTTGAACATGGAATGCTAAACAATATTGCTTGAACGTTATAAAACACCCCTGTCTTTTGTCCTTACTAGAGGGGGAAAAAAACACCAGGTACTGTATAATATCCAAGCAACGGGAAAAGCAGGGACTACACGTTCTTGGGCAAGTTCAATGTTTGCAGAGTCCTACTCACCTGACCACAGGATTCCCACTGAAGAGAATATACACGCCTGCTTCCTTGTTGTTATAGATGTGGTTGCTCCGAATTGAACCCTTCCCATTGCCAAGCACAACAAGCCCTGAACGCAAACCACTGTGTATTTTGTTGCACTGTGGAAAGTACAAAAGACGGTCACACTAAAATCACATACATTTGGAAATGTACCTACTGATGTTACAAACAATGTAATCTAATGTGAGCTTCTATGCATAATTATTTTTGTCTAATGTATTTATCCATGACGACTGTTGTTGAAAGTTCTGGAAATAGATTCATGTTAAGATTATCTTGTCAAACATAGGGGATCGTTTGTTTCTTCTTTTTGAACGATGTGACATTTACCACAATGATGGGGTTAGCCCCTTTCCGGATGTCCAGCCCCGCCTCCCCATTCGAGTGGATGTTGTTTTCTGCGATGAGGCCGTGAGCAGAGAGGCGCAGGAACACACCTGATGCACGGCACTCACACACCTCGTTTCTCAGCATCACTATCTGAAGGAGGCGAGAGAGAGAAGGAGAGGGAGCTCAAGTAACACTTTGAAAAAGAAACTACTGCTTAATTACTCATGATCTGAGCTGCTTCCTTAACTTGATACATGACTTAAAATGTATGCTGCTTATTAAAAGTCATTGAACAAATACAATTGAAATGATGATGATACATTCAAGTCACACTCCATTAGTCTGAAAAGTTATGATTTTATTTACCGTGGAGTTCTGGATGCAGCGGACGGCATAGTTTAGCCCACGGAAAACATTGCCCTCCAGCCGAGCTTGTCCGTAATTAGACAAATGCACGCCACCCTTCCCTTCCCTGAAGAGGCAGCGTCTGAGGATACAGCCAAAGGTGGATGCTGCCAACATCTGAGCTTCCGGGTCCCTGTCTAGTTCTTGCTGAAGGGTGAGGGGTTCAGGGGTCACAGATGGGGGATTCGGGGAGGAGGCCAGTGGCAGAGAGCCATCTGGCCGGGGTTTGAGCAGATGGGATAGGCCATGATGGTCACATGGAATTTTGTAATCCAGTGTAAACGGGGTGTTCTTAGTTCCTCCTCCATCTTGGTTCTGCTCCTCTCCCTCGCTGCGGTCACCATCACTCCAGCAGTCTTCAATCACCGTGCCCTGACACACTGCATCTACCCCAGTCCTCCTCTGCCAGTCTTCTATGGTCACATGTTCATTTTTAACATTAGTGCCTGGAGGTTGATGCCCACCAGTGGAGCCAGCCAGAAGGCCACTGGGAGGACTATTGTCATTCCTGGATGCGCTGCATGATGGCAATGTCCTGGCCAGGGCAGCCAAGTGTTTGCAAGCCCAACTCCTTTCTGAAACCGGAGGACCTTCAACTGTCACAGAAGCCGTGTCACTTCCAGAGAAGTCACAGCTGTCAAATAAACTGAGGACAATGCCCAGCAAGTGGGCTGAGCTGCCCTGTGAGAAGGAGCAGAAGCGAGCCTGGCAGGTTCCTGGGCCGCGAATTTGCAACTGAGCCCCCTCAAAGTTGCAGTTGTCTAGCTGTACGTGACCCCATGAGGTCTAGAGCAAAACAAAGAGAGAAAGGTGACTGGACTGGACAGGCAGATTCAGCAAGAAAGGCACAATTTATTTAGACCAGATTTTGTTAAGATACTTGAAGATGCAGGAGGGAGCAGTCAAGGTTATTCTGAACACTTGATTGCTGGATAAAGAAAACATCACAATAAGCTGTTCTTTACCTTGTAGACCACAGTGGTGAACCAGGGTGGCATGAACACCAGATTACACAGCCTGGCAGTAGGGCACTGCTGCTCCATACACACCAGGAGGGCCACCTCGCCCAATTGTCCCAGCCCAACCAGCTCCACAGGCACCTTCAGCGCCATTTCAGCCTGCTCCTCATACACCCCTGGATGGAGAAGCACACGGTCATATGGCCCCGCCACCCCAAGTGCCCCACGTAGAGTCTCAAACTCACATCCAGGCCCCACATGCCAAACCCTGCGGTCTTTTCTACGACGGAAAAACAGGAGGCAGGCAGAAGACTGGAGCTCTGGGCCATTTTGAGTCCAGGTACGGGTGGCTAGGGCGTGCTGCTTCAGGGCCTCTCTCCAGGATGGGGGCTCCAGATGGGGCTGACTGGGCCAGTTGGGATGTCTGCACTCACGGCAGCCTAAGCAGAGTTGTCTCCAGCGGGTGTTGTCTAGAGAGAGGATGAGCTCCCGCCAGGCACGGCACACCTGGCAGCAGCGGCCCAGGTCAGGGAGAGGCAGGTAGGCTAAGATAACCCTCCACAGCTCCACAGGGAGGCTGCCCACCTCCATGGCAGCAGAGACGCCGGCTGGGGAGCACCGTGACGGAAGGGCCACCTGGAGACAGCCATACACACACACGCAAGCGCATATAAGGCGACAGGAAACCGCTAGCGTCCACCGTTAACAACATTAAATAAAACATTTACACAACGGGGCTTATAAATGACCCAACAGACAAATAATTAACGCTACTGTGGGCAGCTGTTACTGTGACTAGCAACCCTGTATTATTTTAGCAGGAAAGCGATGCGTAGCGAATAGACATGATGGGAATGACGCCGTGAATTTTGTAACGTTATTGTATTTTTATTAGTGTATTTAAGTTAATTAACATTAATGTCTCAATGTGGGCCTGCTGAAAGTTTGCTACGATTCATGGCGGTTAGCTAGCAAGGTAACTTAACTCTGGGTATCTGCAAACCTTGCATAGCTACATCAACAAACACAGGAGAGCACCGTATCCGTCAAAAATAAAAGCCTTAACGTTACCTTTCACCAGTTTGCCATAGTTAGAAGAATCCGCTACCTATCTATCTATCCAGCCTTACATGTCTGCGACAGCGACTTTTTCCTCACTGCATCCACAGTTCTCAACAATCCATTATGACTGTAGATGTGCCATCGAAATGGAGTTCAATTGCTTCCAGTTTACGGCAAGACACAACGAAACAAACAGAGCTGCTCCGTCTTCCGCTTCCCAAAAGTGGGCGTTTACCTTATGGAAGTAAACTGCTGCTGACATTGTCGATGACCTGAATGAATCCTATGTAACATTAGAATACGCATGGGGTTAAACTTGATCCTACAGGTTCAACACAATCTTGTCTCTAGCATATCTGCAGCCAACCCACATACCCAGGTACATTATAACTACAGTGCCTATGACAATAACTTACTCAAATATTTTTGGTCTAAATTTCTCCATTCTTGCATGATTACAAGAGTTTTTAAAATGTAAAACACAACATTTTACATCATCCAGGCACTATTTGCATAAACACTTTCCCTTTAAATAAATATTAATCAAACTATATTATGCATACTATAAATCAGTGACTAAGGCAAAGAAAAAAATGTAAACATTTATAATTTTCCAAAATATTGTCACAGCATTTACCATTTCCAGTGTACACACGATACTGGGTTTACGTGAAGGAGATGAGAAGATATTTTAACACTATTTTGAAGAAATATTAATATATTTGAAATATATGAGTGGGGAAGAGCAGCGCAATGGTACAGTGGTTAGCAAGAAGGTCGTGGGTTCAAACCCTGGCTGCCCCAGGCCTTTCTGTGCGGAGTTTACATGTTCTCTCCGGGTGCACTGTCCAAAGACATGCAGACTAGGTTAATTAGTGTCTCCAAAATTGTCCTTAGATGTAAGTGGTTGTTTGTCTATGTGAGTTCCTGTAATGGACTGGTGATCTGTCCAGGGTGTACCCCACCTTTTGCCCGATGTAAGCTGGGATTGGCTCCAGCCCCCTGCGACCCTGTATGCAGGATAAGCGGTTGATGATGGATGGACGAGTGAGGGACCTGGTGGTCCTCCTTCAGAAGTTTTTGAGCATTAAACACTTCATTTCCTGCATTTTGGAGACATGTCCTGCATCATTATGGGAGGAATTTCTTTATTTGTGCAAAGGGAAACACAAAATTCAGTCGATGGGTGACAATTCAGAATATAAAACTATAATGGAATATAATGCAGTAATCAGTAGATTTTTTTTAGCTTGTGTTACTTTTTTTTGGACAATGCACATTTGTTTCTATATTTTAAATTGCATTGCATGTTTCCTTTTATTGCCTTTTTCAAAGCATTTTCTTTGGTTATTTAACATCTCTTGTTGCAAGCTATGTAAACATTTAAACAAGTAGCCTATACTTTCAAAAAGTTGTGGGGACATGTCCCCAGCATTCACAGTGTAAATGACAACTCTGTGTCTGTAATCTTATTCTTTCAGTTTATACTCAAAGCTCATGACTATTCTCTTAAGTTCATACATTATTAAATTAGCATTATATACGAAAAAAATGAATTAATCATGTCCAAAAATGTCATCAATGTACCTTTTGCCTACAACTTGTACCTATGAAGACATTTTTTACTATAGAATGTGGTGCAAGAGGTAGACCAGGTTGCCCACTAATCAGAAGATTCAAATTCTAGTAGTACGCATGTTGAAGGGTCCTTGGGCAAGATACTGGACCTTAAATAGCTTCTGCGTGAATGTTAGTGTCTGTTTCTGATGTGCAGTTGGCACCCCAGCCTCTTCCATCAGTGTGTGACTAGAAAAGCACTATGCAAGTAGGCTACAGTCCATTTACAATTTTACAGCCCAGTGATGTTTTTTTTTACATGCAGCTGTATCCCAAATGGCTGGACTGTTAGCTTCCTCTGACTAGGTTTTGAAGTGCTTTAAGGGTCAATAGGTAAAACTTCACTTCAGCCGACCCTTAGCTCATAATGTAATTGATTAGGTGATCAGCAGGCAGTGATTTTACAGCTGCTGCTGAAATGTAAGGAAATGAAATGGCATGACCTGCCCAATTTATTGGGTGTCTTTGAAAATTGGATCTTGGATTTCCACTTGAATTTAAGGTGTTCTGTGGATTTTGACAGTGCTTGGCATGAATTTGTCACATTCTGTGACATACTGTATTTAAATAAGTTTAGGCAAGTGTGGACTATTTTTTTTTTCAAATTCTGTTGAGTTTCCCGAGAATAAACATCAGAACAACAAAAAAAGGTGACCTCCACATACCTACCCTTTGCCAGAACAAGCAGCAAAGATATGAAGGCGTTCATATTCAGACTGCATTGTGAAGGCTGGGTCAGGAACTGCAATATCATCTTGTTATTGTTGGTTCTTGTTCTAAATACTTTCAGTAAGTAGGTACAGCTGTACAGTAGCTGAATGTTTCCTGTGAAATAAGAATTCTATGGAAGACTGTTTAACTTTGAGGTACTGTTGTACTAAAATGAGAGGCTACAATGTCTATAGCATCAGCTGCTAATGAGATGTCCAACAGGTGGCAATGTCCTTCCACTAAGAATTTCTTCTGTCTTACATGTAGACTGTCCCACATGACACAGCCCAAGAAGCAATGTTGTTTTCCAAATTGTATTTTCAGGACATTTGTTTTTATTTTTTTGACACCAAAAAGACCTCCCCCCCAAAACAAAAAACTTGTTAGCAGAAGAGAGTGGGGTGAGCAGTCACACAATGTCTCTAAGATATATTTAACCTGTGAAGGGACAGAGCAGGGTTTACAACATAACTTATGATAAAATAAAGGATTTAATGGAGGTTTCAAATCAAAACATGACTTATGCTGCTTTCCCCTCCCACTGTCCCACACAGTACTGACTTACGGGAAAGGAAAAAATAAGGACTTAGAGAGACATTAACAGATTTCTGGTTTGTAAGTAATGTCAAAATGTATTAACAATCACTGTCTTAATATTTTAGATGAAAATGTGTATGTATGTTTATGAAGAAATAGGCGTAAACATGGCTTTGATTATTTTATTGTGCATTTAACCTACAGTTTGTTACAGTCCTTTATATTAATCCTGCTGCACATTTGAGATACAAGTATTTAAATTGCTTACAAAAATAACAATTTTATAGTATATGATGTTTAACATATTGTTCAGAATACAGGTTTGTGTCATCACCTCATGCTTTCCTTTCTCGCTCAGACTCAGGAAATTGAAAAACTGGTGACAGGATCTAAGCAAAACCTCTTGAATAATGCAGCTGCCACATGAATGTTTCTCATCAAGCAAAACAAATTCTTGTATGGAGGATTTTAAGGGCTGAAACTAAATACATTAAAACTATAAATAATTATATAATAAAATGCTTAGATAAATGAATAAATACATAATTATGTGATTTAATGGACAATTAAACATATGAGACATTAAACATATAAATGTTAAAACTTATTTGTGTATTTATTTATTTATTTATCCATTTATTTATTTACTTATTCACACATGTATTTTTCTATTAAGAATTTTATTTATTTATTTATATATACTTTAATTTGTCCATATATAGTGTAACTTCTTGCAGCGTAATAAATAAATTTGTCAGCTCCAGCCATCAAAAGTCAGGGGGGTGGGTTAAAGCCTCTGATTGGTGAATAAAAAGTATTACAGCTCCAGCAGGTCTATGGTTCAATTTAAATGAGGCCTTACACAGATCACCTAACCCTCATTCATATCTAAAAAAGCATAGGAATTGGCAATTTCCTCCATCTGTACAGCTACAGCCAACAAATCTACCATTGTAGAACACAAGATTTCAGTAAAAGGTGCCGCCATCTTGACTTAGGAAAAAGCAGTCAATAACAGGGCAGATATCGCCCCCTGACTTTTGATGGATAAATTTGACCCATTTTTTATTTTCACTGCAGCAAGTTACACAATGGATCGATTAAAATATATATAAATAAATGTTTGAAAAAATGTATAAATAAATGTATATATAAGTTAGTGCTGGGAAACGATTACAATTTTTAATTGCAATTAATCCTAATTAATCGCATGATTTTCTTGCAATTAATTGCAATTAATCGCATTGTTATGTGCAAAATTGAATAATGAATTCTAAAGTAGTGTATTGCACACTTTTAATTTAAATGTACTGCTATATACACAAAAGTGCAATAACATGTGGTTTGCAAACACTTTAAACAAATAAGGTGCTTTTTACCAGCAGTGTTCCCTTTACACAGTAGCAATAAAATATTTCTTGTAAATCTCAACTTAAACATTAATGTAATCAAATCAATTATAAAACCAATGCTATTGAACACTGCCAGGGCATTACCTTTTATCTAGCTTGTTAAAACAAGTTACCATCAGAGTCCTGTTTTCTTATTTTTTTTCTGAAGGTATCAGCAGAAACATTTTTCTTTTATCATGGAGCATAGTACAGTGGTCGGCAATAGGCGGCCCGCCAGCAATAATATCTGGCCCATGGCCACATTGCTTTGATAGCAGAAAAATAAAAAAGTAAATAAATTGATGGGCTGGTGCTGAAATAGATCTCAGTCATGACAGTGTTACTCACACAATCATTTCCTATTAAGTGATTGTGCCTCCAAAATAAAAGCACGAGAATTTTTTTTTGCAGCAATACTTTATGACAAGTTTATTGAGAGCTTTTACTTTGGAGAGCTGACATTCAAAAGAGACTCTGGCTTGCTTGACACACCTCTGAAAAAGCCGTCAGTAAACGTGTGATTGGATTCCCCTGAATGTCCTCAGGGTTTATCAATGCGGATCAAATGCTGGGATGAACACTTTATTGTGAGCATGTGCAAAAGTGACCTTATAATAAATTTGTTTACAAGGGAGAAAAAAATACCTGCAGTTAGTTGGAATCGATCTTTCAACCTTCCACACGGGAGTCCCACTCAGTACCGACTGAGATAAATACACACACAAGTACACAAGGATTTGAAATAATTTGACTGTTTTCTGGCCCGCCATGTAAGGGCTTGAAAAAAAATGCCATGGTTACTCTAGAGCGCCTGCTGTTTACTTGCGGAACACTTGTTTCCTTTCTGATTACCTGAGAAAACCTGCAGGGCCAAGCGACTACGTTGTGATTTTAAGAATGTTCAGCATGCAGTGTGTAGCTATCCACTTCGCTATGGCATTTGATCGCTTGTCTTACTTTTGTTTATCATCCAGCGTAGTCTGCCAAAGCCTCCCTCCGCTGCTAGTTTGAGTGGGTAATTTGCAGGTTGATCAAAATCCCACCCCTCCTGTGACCCATGATTTGACTGTAGGCTATGTGTATTCAGAAACAGACTTTCAAAATAATAATAATAAAAATAATAAACACCGTGTTAACGTGTGATAAATTAATTAATGCGTTAATGCTATAATAACGCGTTAACGTGCCCAGTCCTAATATAAATATATAAGCGATTAAATAAATACATAAATAATATTTAATTTAATTGTATTTAATGTCTCATTTAATTTGTGATTTATTTATGTTGCTAATTATATAATTATTTATTTATTCAATCATTATATTATATAATTATATATTCATTCATTTATTTAATTATGATAAATGTTTTTTTTATATATATTTAGTTTTGGTCCTCCATATACTTGTGCTCTGTCAGTACAAGCCAACAGTTAACAGTGAAAATGTGTTTCCAAAAGGTCCTTCTTTCTATCCAAGCCAAATCCTTGAAGGTTTGTTCTTCATCGTGTTTGCCTAAAAAAGGTACGTATACCGTATTATCACTTCACTTACACACACAGGTGTTTATAAATTACCCCCCCCCCCCCCACACACACACACATATTTATTAGACAGTATATGAAATTAATGATCAACCAGCTTCCTGGAAAGTTCCATGTTAAGGAGAAATGATTACTTAAATACTCTTCTGTAAACATCTTAAACATCCTTTTCCTGTAAACACAATGAATTATTGTTTATAGAACTGCCATAACATAGTCAGTGTCACCTTTCAGTCGACCCTAAGGTAATAAAATCTCTTTGTATATAAAGACTGTGCAATCCTCAAGTGTTTACCCTGAACTTAAATAATTCAAATTCTTCTTGTTCACTTAAGGCATGTTATGAATATTGACTTACTTTACTTTCTTCTTAAGCACTTTTTTGACCCAAGGAGCATTAGGGTCCAGACAAATCTTTTCCCCATTGTTTTTAAGAGTGGCACTGCAGGAATAAAGACAGGTCAGAGAAATCAGACACAGCAATATATTCCATAAGCCGCATAAGACGTAAGGCGTGTTTTGAAAGTTTTGTGAGTACACATGAAAAAAACAGATGTTGACCTTTGGCCCCAGGGCTTACATTATCTCAATGTCATTGCAGTGTGAGCTGGCAGGATGCACCTCCACCTGTCCTATGTAACGTCCAATGGGCCTTTTCTCCTTGGCGATGCATCGACATCGAAGATTCACTCCTTGATCCCCCAGACATGTACCTGAGGTTGTGAGAGTTCAGAAAAGGAAACAATGTAAAACATACTGCTGATTTCCATATGCGGATCAGAAACAGGCAATTGACAGAAAGCACAGGAGTACATGTGTGCTCGCAACAAAGAAATTTATTTAGACATTTTATATGTTTGAACAATATTGAAACATTAGACTCACCCTCTTGGATGGACAGGATGACCAGGAGTGCCACAATAGTGATAATAGACATATCTGCTCTGAAACTGAAGTCAGAGATAGAAGTAGTGTTAGTCAGTAGTCATTCAACCTCTGCAGCAATAAACTGTGATACACATCTGCTCCGTAAGCCCTTTTCTTCTCCCTTTCTTCCCCTCCTTCAGTTTTAATACTTCTCAGGAAAGAGGGCGCTTTAAATTTTGGACTAAAGTAGTGCATTTATTACTGCTCTTGTAATCCAGAAGGAAAGACAGAATATATAATTAATTTTGATAAAATTTGCTTCATCTGACTGCACTAGTCTTGTTAGCAAGTAGGGAAGAATTTTGACACATTGTTTTTATGAGAAACCCCTTTTCCTATGAAAATGGTCTCTGCTGTGACAGAGCACACATAGCAGGAAGAAAGCTGGAATTTGGATGTTTGTGCCTAACACAATATGATACTCTTCTCCACCCTACTAAACTGAGGTTTGGCAACCCAAGGCTATTTAATTGGAAATTATCTGGAATTTGGACATCTGCACCAAACCAAGTGTGTGTATGCTCTCCGTGTCCGTCCTGTTGTATTACAGAATTTTGAAAATAGAACTTGGAAATAGCCCTGCAATATCACTCAGCAACTTTGTTTCTCTTCTCCCTCAAATGAATCACAAAAGTGTACAGAAATAGAAAATGATTTTCTGGGTATAAACACATGTAGATAATCCAATCAAAGATCAAGAATAAGGCAGTTTGTAACTTATTAATGTCAATGTAAATATGTACTGCGTATGTGCTGTATATAACTGTACTGTGCATGCAAAAATAAGATTTAAAGCCTTTGCATGGTAGACAAACATGTAGGGATAGGTTATGACATGCCGGCAAGCTTGTCTTGGCATGAAGCTTAACGTCAGAGTTGCTTTTTACACACGTGGAATGTAAACTCCTGCAGGGCCACCCACTTTCATATAGATACTCCTCCTCAATGTTTTTTGTAAGGGGAAAAAAGCAAATCCATCTTCATCCCCTCATCTGGCGATTTGTAAATTCAAAAAGTCCCTGATATTTCCCGGAATCCCCAGAGACTGGCTCCCTGGTTCTCCTTTTGCCAACTTTCACTTCCTGAAACTGAAACTCATTGTTATCAGTATGCGGTTCTTTGTGTGTGTGTCAATGTTTGGTTTGCAAACCACAGTTTAGGATAAGGCAGTGAATATCAGAATGAGCAACCTCTTTCTAAATGTCCACTATTATACTCTACACCACAATACTCTAAGCTATGTTAAGGAATACTATGCAATACTTTGATGCACTATGCAATGTTATATACATTATCCCAATGCTGATGAAAGCAATATGTGCAAAAACAAAGACCAAGGGCCCTGTTTTCATGCCAGTGTAGCAGAGTCAGTTATAGAGCAGTCATATGTTTAACAAATATGTAATATGTAGGATTATAATTACACAAAATATGTGTAAATAGTCATAACCTGACATTTTAGGCCTCCAGAGTCAATATATGGAATGTCTGAGACCTTCTTTAGGCTACTCCTACACTCACTTTCATGGGTCCCCTTTGTGTAAATGGGGTCTCCCGCCTTTACCTCTCCCCTTTTGCTAAATGGGAGGTTTAATTGACATAGCCTAGTGGCCGTTGAATCTTCTGTGTTTTAACCTTCCTTTTACCTAGATTACTTGCTAGGTTAAAGTTGTGTTGAGTAGTACGCTGATATATTCCTGTGTCCGCACCGCTCTAGACACCATTGGTTATACCATCACAAAGTCAGCGGCAGAGCAGTTGCAAAGCGATGTTCTCATCAGGTGGAAGTCTTTTTTTGCACTTGTTAGGTATTTTCCCGGCTCTAAACCCATTTGTGCTGAGGTGAGTGGAGCGGTGCAGCTGATTTTTTGTATGCTAACACTTTCTAACATAAAGTTGCACTAAACTCTAAATGCAGCTGAGGCTGATAGTTTTGTAGGTAGTTTTCCATAAACTGCTAGAAAAATTGAAACTGATAAAAGCCCTTATCAATAAATTTAGGCTTATTTCAATTCATCTTGAGGTGAACATAAATGTCTATATCACATCAGGGGAGAAAATCAGGGGATTGCCATGGAGATCTTGAATATCTGCATTAACCCTTAAGAGTTCCTCGGGACATTTTGTGCCATTACGTTTTTTATTTTCAATTTTGGCTGTGTTGAATGTATGTAGCTCAAATTTGCCAGAGGATATTCTTTTTAAAGAAATAAAAAAAAGCTTAAAATGGCTAACTACGCAAACGACACATTCGTCCCTTAGGACAAAAAATGCCCCATAGAAAACCATTGAAAATGCCTTTTTTGATCCCACATTTATCCTAACCTAAACTGATGCATTCCTTTATGTTAATATTTCATTTTGCACTACTAGCTTTCAATTTTTTATTTTTATATCTGTCCACCAGTTTGTGCTACTGTTTTCCCTTTTACAGTATGCAGCAAAATTTCACACTTTTTAGCTGTTTTCTGCGAGGGTGTCTTGCCCCTGTGTGTGTGTCATATTGATGTTGGATGATGGTGTCTGTGTAAAAGAAAGGTCTGTGTGTGTGTGCACGTGTGTGTCCAACTTCATCTTCAAAGTCTTTTCTCTTTGAAGGCCACACTCTGCATTATGAACTAATCCAGGAATGAAAATGATGAGCAGCGAGAACCAAAACAAAATTGGGACATTGTTTTTGTTCTCATTCAGGTTATTTATGCAGGTGCACTGCAGCCATGGTTATACACTCACCGGCCACTTTATTAGGTACACCTTAGTAGTAACGGGTTGGAGACCCTTTTGCATGCAGAACTGCCTTAGGCCTTGTCTATGAAGATTCTCAGTCATCCAGGTCATAGTTATCCAACGAAGGTTAAAAATCAAGTCCAGTTGCCCTTGATTTTTAACCTTCGTTGGATGCCTTAGGCCTTGTCCACACAGACGCGGGTATTTTTATAACCGGAGTTTTACCTCTGTTTCAAAAAAAATCTCTGTCTACATGAAAAAACACGCTATCAAGCGCTGCCAAGAGCATGCCAAACCACCAGGAGGCAATATAACCCTAACCGTAAAGCCATGTTGGCCAATCAGTGCCTAATAATATCGTAAACAAAGCAGGCAGTGGCCCACAATCTGACATCAAACACAGCAGATGACGGTGCACACACTCTTACATCGCAAGGCAAAAACACTGCAACATTTGCAGCATTTCTTAAAATCTTCACCCTGGCAGGGGTTTTCAAAAATGTTTGGTTTCAGTGACCTGATACTACGTTTCCATGTGTACGGTACGAACGGCCAAACCGCATAGAAAAAGTCACGGTTTTGAAAATACCCGTGTTCGTGTAGACAGGGCCTTAATTCTTCGTGGCATATTTTCAACAAGGTGTTGGACATATTCCTAAGAGACTTTGGTCCGTATTGACATGATAGCATCATGTAGAAGTAGTAGTTGCTGCAGATTTATCAGCTGCACATTCATGATGTGAATCTCCCCTTCCGCCACATCCAAAAGGTGCTCTATTGGATTGAGATCTGGTGACTGTAGAGGCCATTAGAGTTCAGTGAACTCATTGTCATGTTCAAGAAACTAGTGTGAGATGATTTGAGCTTTGTGACATGGTGCATTGTCTTGCTGGAACTAGCCATCAGAAGATGGGTACACTGTGGTCATAAAGGGATGGACAACAACAATACTCAGGTAGGCTGTTGCGTTTATACAATGGTCACTGGGGCTCAAAGTGTGTCAAGAAAATTCCCCCCACACATTACACCTCCACCACCAGCCTGAACCATTGATCCAAGGCAGGATGGATCCATACTTTCATGTCGGTAACGCCAAATTCTGGACCGACCATCTGAATGTCGTAGCTGAAATCGAGACTCCTCAGACCAGGCAACGTTTTTCCAATCTTCTATTGTCTAGCTTTGGTAAGCCTGTGAGAACTGACCTTAGTTTCCTGTTCTTAGCTGACAGGAGTGGCACCCTGTGTGGTCTTCTGCTGCTGTGGGCCAAATACTCAGACCAGCCCGTCTGGCAACAACAACCATTCTGATGTTTGAACTCCAGCTCAATTTGTCTTGACCACGTCTACATGCCTAAATGCATTAAGTTGCAGCCATGTGATTGGCTGACCAACTATTTGTGTTGATAAACAATTGATCAGTAACCTAATAGTGTAAGTATGAGCAGTAGTGCAGGAGTAGTCATTTTGGAGATGCCAAGACAGCACACAGGAGAATCTGGAAATTATCATATATCATTATAAACTAAGATTATGAACTTTAATCTGCCACTGCAGAAAAAAAAACAATGCATCAAAATCAATGTTGCTGCCAATCAGTGACCCATCTCAGGCCCTGATAATAATAATAATCAAATACTCCTTAAATTGTATTTTTTGGAAATTATTTTGTTTTTTTGTTTTTTCCCTTAAAAAACACAGTGGAGTTTTGTAAACATAATGGCATTTAAAGGGTTAAAATCCCCAAAATATAATTAATGTTTGATATATATATTTCAGGCTCAAGTAGCTTTGAAAGATTGACTCGTTTAAAGTGGAAAGAAATATTAATTTATGACATTTTTACAGCAGTTTTTGGGAAGGAGCCATGTTTTGTCATGAGGGACAATTAATTTTTTTTTTTAAGGAACTCTTAAGGGTTAAATATAATGACAAGGCATGCAATCAATATGTAGCAAACTACCAACTGACACGCCAACTCTTAACTTTCCCTGTTAAATTTATAATAAATGCTATTCCTGCAAATGATAAACCATGATCACGTTGCAGGGCCGCTTGAATTTAGTCTGAGGTTGAATATTAACCACATATACAGCGCTTTCTACTCTTCAATGTTGTAAGTTTAGATGAGGTCAAGGGGAAGTTTGGGAATATCGAAACATCTATGTATCATACTGTCAAAGATGATTTCAACATACTTCCTCTATGATTTCATGAAGCTATAGAGCCTGCTTCCCTTATTGTGCATGTGTGCCTGTGTTCCGCTCTGCAATATTAAATCTTGCAAATCAGTTACATGAATAAAAGTGCTCACAATTGGTCTTTGCCATTGCTATGTATGAAAACAGGAAATACCAGAAATACGCACAACCCTAAAGACTTCACTATATTTT